CATGAAGAGGGAAATGCTTCACATACACAAGGAGTTGCACTGATGCTGTCCAAACATGCACAAAAGGCACTGACAGGATGGGAATCTCATGGACCCAGGATCATCAAAGCATCCTTCAAAACAAAGAAAGAGGACATTACAATGAACGTTATCCAATGTTATGCACCTACCAATGACTACAATGACGACGTTGATGATCAATCCTGCGAAAGGCTGCAGTCAATCGTCGCGAAATGTTCACCAAAGGATTTGACGATTCTTATGGGAGACCTGAATGCAACAGTTGGCATTGACAACACTGGATATGAAGACATCATGGGACGACATGGACTGGGAGAAAGGAACGAAAATGGTGAGAGATTTGCGAACCTATGTGCCTTCAACAAACTGGTCATCGGTGGCACAAATTCCCGGAAAGAAGGATACCTGATCAAAGTATCAAAGAAAGGCGATCTCAGCATGTGTGAGAACTACAGAGGCATCACTCTTCTCTCAATACCAGGCAGTCTTCAACAGGGTATTGTTAATCAGAATGAAGGACTTCGTAGACGTCCAACTTCGAGATCAACAGGCCGGATTTCGTAAGCATCGATCGTGTACTGACCAAATCGCAACATTACGGATCATTGTGGAGCAATCAATTGGATGGAACTCACCACTCTACATCAACTTCATCGACTACGAGAAAGCATTCGATAGCGTGGACAGGAAAACACTGTGGAGGCTTCTTCGACACTACGGTGTGCCTGAGAAAATAGTTAACATCATACGGAATTCTTATGATGGATTTGACTGCAAAATCGTCACGGAGGACAGCTAACTGACTCTTTCGAGGTGAAGACCGGTGTCAGGCAAGGTTGCTTACTCTCACCCTTTCTCTTTCTCCTGGTGATCGACTGGATTATGAAGACGTCGACATCTGGAGGGAAGCACGGTATCAAATGGATAGCCAGGATGCAGATGGATGATCTGGACTTCGCAGATGACCTGGCTCTTCTGTCGCACACGCAACAACAAATGCAAGAGAAGACGACCAGTGTAGCAGCAGCCTCAGCAGCAGTAGGTCTCAACACATGCACCAACCAAATCACTCTTGATGCTGATGTCTTGGAGGACGTTAACACCTCTACATATCTTGGCAGCATCATCGACAACCAAGGTGAATCCGATGCAGATGTGAGGGCACGGATTGGCAAAGCAAGGGCTGCATTTCTACAGTTGAAAAATATCTGGAACTCCAAACAACTTTCAACCAAAACCAAAATCAGGATTTTCAATACAAATGTGAAGACAGTCTTACTGTATGGAGCGGAAACATGGAGAACTACTAAAGGCATCCTCCAGAAGATACAAGTGTTTATGAACAGGTATCTATGCAAAATACTTCGGATTCGTTGGTCAGACACCATTATCAACAATGTACTGTGGGAGAGAACAAGTCAGATTCCAGTGGGGTAGGAAATCAGGAAGAAGTGGTGGAAGTGGATAAGACACACACTACGAAAAGCACCTAACTGCATCACGAGACAAGCTTTCACATAGAACCCTCAAAGCAAAAGGAAAAGTGGAAGGCCAAGGAACACACTACGCCGACAAATAGAGAAAGATATGAGAGGAATGAACAAACATTGGACATAACTGGAGAGGGAAGCCCAGGACAGAGTTGGTTTGAGAAAACTGGTGGGCGGCCTATGCTTCATTGGGGGTAACAGGCGTAAGTGAGTAAGCAAGTAACAGACAGATAATCTTGTGAAAACAACTTGCAGAAACAGTGATTCTCAACAGGATGCGAGACATAGAACACCAAGTAGAACTCAATAGCTTCTTTTAAACATTTAACATAGCCTAACAACACAAAAGGAGGGAGGGTGTAGACACCGACCAGCAAACATTGATGGTGTAGGCGATGACTTCAAACCACCAATGTTTGTAGGCCAGAAAATTTTATTGGCTTTCGGCACTTCTGATTGATGAGGCGAGCAATTCGTAACACTGAGGTTGCTCTTATACGCTCGGTACTTCTGAAGCTCAAGTTTCCAAAACCATGCTGAGGTCGCTTCTCTGCCAAGACACCCGCAACACGCCTACTCAGGCGCTTACAATATGATTAGGAGGTTGGCATTTAGTAAAAAAGCAGTTAGACAGTGAAAAAATTTTAATCATCAACGTTTCTTACAAACTTTACTCTTTTTACTGAAATTTCGGTTTCAACATACATAAATCCAGCTTCTTGTTTCAACTTCTCTTCTATTCACTTGACACTCTCCTGGACTTTTCCTTCTTCATTGCTGTACTCTTTCATTTGTGGGTTATATTTCTGTAATTTACTTTAATTTTAGTGGTCAGTATGAAGTCTATCTTTACTTACCACTGTATTGTCTACTTCATCATGACAGGTTAAGCAGTGCTTTGGTTATATATATGCACTTGCCTCGTTGCTGCCTTTTTTCTCGCTCTCTTTATTCCCTTCTCAGAACCCTATTCACAGTGGAACATTCATGGCTCCTACAGGCATCATGAATCTTATGTACACACACGTCTAGATTCCAGCTTGTATTAAGAGATCCCCAATCGACCTTTCCCAACAAACTCACTACTGATATAAGCAAACCACCCAAGAAACCTACTGTGCTCCTTCCCCATTTGTACTCACCGACTGAAATTGTGGATGTATCAAACTGTTCCTGTTAGTGACATAATGTAAACGTGATATCAGAAACTAAATCTTATCCTTAATTTAACTGCAATAAATTCTGCAGTAAATGTGGTAACATCTGTGATAATTTGATCTAGGCTGTAAACTGGCATGCCTCCTGTAGCATACTGTTATTTGAGAATGAATATATTATTATTAGAACACATTCATCGGATAAATAGATTTGTACCTGGTTTCAAGTTACACCGCTTTTGTGATGGCTACTAATACCACCCGAGCTGGAGTTGGCGGAGCAGGATTTGAATCCATAATCAACCTGTTTCAATGAAATTGCTTTGACCATCAGTCCATTGCTTTGAACACTCATTGTAACATTTCCGTCAAAATGGCAAATATATGCTATTTTCGACATCAGAACAAAGCTAAAGAGGCTTGGTATATATTCAAGTATTCCTATGTATTTGTGGTAGAAATCGTAAGGATTTAGCAGACTAATTGAAAGGTTTCTTCGAAGGATTCTTACCTGGCATTGGGAAACAGATGCAATGCCAATGTTCAAATTAATTAGAGACACTTCTAGACGAAGGTAGCTGACGAAATACAGGCAAAGCCATAATATCTCCTTACGTTCATGACTAAGAGAAAATCTACAAACCAGGACGTTTAGGCTCTTGGAAGGTCTAAATGGCAAAGATCTTATCAACCCTGGGATGAGTGAGTTCTTCAACACCAACATCACCGATCAGTTAAACAGGTATACACATGTTCAGAGTACTACTCAAATCGAGTGTCAGATGACGGCCTAAGGATTATCCGACTAACTGTTGACTTATTGATAAGCAAACTAAATTCCTTGAACCAATGAAAGTCACTGCGATATGAGAATGTTCTCCGAATAGTCTTGAAGCAGTGTGCAGAAGCGCCGGTATGTGACCCGTTCAGGCATTCATTGAAGTCACACCAACTCACGACTGAATAAAAACAAGCTACTCTCTCTCAAGTCTTTAAACAAGGAGATTGAAGTGATATAGTCTGTTACGGACCAGTCGCATTATTATCAGTACAGTTAATGGTCATGGAATTACTGGGAGTGCATAGATAAGGACAAGATCCTCCGTGAGGCTCAACACGGGTTTCGGAAAGGCAGGTCACGTACATCCAATTTTCTCATAGCATGGGACAGCTGGAAAAGATGCTGTACACATAAGATTTCTTGACTTCGCGAGAGATTTCATGGCAGTACCCTGCGTAAACCTAATTTCGAAGTTTTCGAATACGGGCTTCACTGGTCCACTTCTATATTGACTCAGAGAATACCTTGAGCATCTAAGCAAATAGAGTGCATGCAAGCAGACGTGTATCAACATCGGGGGATTCATTGGAGGCATCTCCGGTCAGAGGTGATTTTATAACGATATGCAACGTATTAAGTAAGCCGAGTCATCCCAACACGTTCTTCTTGATAAAGCATCACCACCACGCCCGACTACTTAACCCTCGAAAAATTGCACAGCAAAGAGTGAGCATCCATGTACTCAGCCGCTTGGCCTCATTTTGAGTTGTTTCACCTTGTAATTTTCTCCCAGCCTAGGTGACCACAGCCCCCTCAGTCGATAGCTTCGAGAAGAGACTTGATAAACACGGACTCACATACGAATTATCATCTCCCTCATGGACCAACTGTGCCTGATGAATGCCTTCAGACATGCTTGTTCTTATAACTGTCATTTCCTTACATCATTAACTTATTCTATCCCACATATTATCTCTGTTCCACCTTCTCTGATCATAGTTCTATGCTTTCACACAATCTTCCTGCGACTTCAATAACTTATTTCCTTATCTGCATAGTTCTGAAATTTAACTGTTCTCATTTACATTAGGATTTTCTCCTTATTATTCACCACATCGCAACTGATTGATCTTCGGTCTGATAATGTGATGGCTGATGGTCTATATAAACCCGACTGCCCTGCGACAAATGCAGCCAATCAAATCACGAGGAATTTAAATTCATAAATACTTGTCAAATGCCTGGAATTAATGCAGGCCAGTGGCGGGACCACTACCAATTGGACATAAGTAAACACCTCGAACCGTACTGAAAGAAAATGATTCATGAGAAGAGGAATCAACTGGTTTGTACTAGCTAAGGAAAAAGATATAGGATATATTGCACTTTAGAGATATTAGATATTGAAAAATCAGTTTCTGGACCAACACTGGCCGCTTGGCGTTCCGTCCTTACTGTAGAGAACGTAAATCTATATCATATCAGAATTTTGGAATTAGGTTTTAAAATTCATTTTGTTAGAATTTTGAATAATCTTCAACAGAATGTTTAGTTACGTCAATTGCTATGTTGCTTGTTGTAACAACTGAAAGTCGGTTTGTTTTGAAACTTACCGCTTAACTGCAAGTATTGGTCGTAACTATTTTGTTACATAAAAGACGCACATATTTCTTCATACTAAAAAGGCAAGGATTTTGGTTTTGAGTTTCGATTTTAAAGTCATTTTCTTGGTCTGATAACAAAGTATGAAAACTATCTTGCTATATCCAATCAATGAAAATATATTCTTTTTCTCTAGTTATTCATGACCATTTTTCAAAGAGAAATATGCATTTTATATATCCCAACTAGTTCATTAATCACTTCAAATTCTGTGAACATATCATACGCCTGGAGATATCCATTAAATAGGATTTAGGCTATTTTTACTATCATAGATTGAGCTGGTTTCTAGATTTTCACGTCTTTTACTCAGACAAGTATTAAATGTCTGTAAAGAACACTAACTTTTTTCGCTAGTTTATGAAAAGTTTGTGACACATTTTTCATATAGTGACAGTACCTGAAATTGGGTTTTCTCTGTACTTTAGGACCATTTTGTTTTTTATTGAAAGACAGATCCATACATTTACAGTGTGATCGGCAAGTAAATATTCAGAAAACAGTTTATATAGGTGAATTACGGGTCGAACTTTACAGTTTTAAACGTAAGTGAGCAAATCTATGTTCATGAAATGTTGGTAGTTTCTAGATAAAAAAAAAACTACCACCAAAATTCTGTAGGATTTGTCAAGGTGTATCGTCTTCTGTACATGTTTCGTGTTCAAAAAGCTGAATATTGCCGATAAGACTGGTTTCAGAACATTAAAATAAATTCTTCAGTTTTATCACAATTCGATCTCATCAGAAGAGGTGGTTTATGCGTAGAGAACAAGTTTCTCATCCAGTTTAACATCAGGATATCATTATTGGGACACCTAACCTGAAACAGATGGATTATCAATTAGTGAAAACTAGTGGTTCGAAACTACTTTTATCACAGATTAATATTGTTTACACTTCTACAGTCGCGTTCACTGACTTCAAGTTCGTAGGTCTCGGGATTCCTCGAATCCAGTACTAAAACGTGACTTAATACGCAGCCGAAAATATGAGATAATAACATTCATGGTTTATGTGTGTTCCCATGGATAACACAGGATACTTCTATCGAATTCCCGACCGAAGCTGCTACCTTGACGTGGTGGTCGCGCTTGCCTATCGTGATGACCCAACCGAGAGATATTGGCTGGAACATATGTTCCTGAAGGTTCTACCATGCCAGGCAGGTCAATTTGAGAACTATGAGACTAAAAGCAGCTACTCAAGGTCTGAGGGCGATGTCGTACTGCTGACTGCAGAGAGGTGTGACAGCAGTAAGGTGTTTCCCTCGGACAACCAGCATCTGCAGCGATGCTGCCTTCTCACAAGGAAGGAAGGGTTAGAAAAGGTCGTCCCTAAAAAATGTCACACCTCACCCTACCTCACGGATTTCCTTCTCCGTCGGTAAGGGTGCCTACTAAGTGTTTCAAGAGCGGAGCTAACACTCAGAAAACCCTTCATAAAAAGGCCGTGCGTGACCGGCCTCGAGTAGTTGTCCCTTGGGCTCTGCGGTTACGCTTCCAGGTCTCTAAGATCGACACTAATATACCTTCTTTTTCAGGTTCCTCAAGAAACAACCTTCCACGGCGTTGGCAGCCGGTAAGTAACATCTGCCCTCATACCCATAAAAACACACGAGACCAAATTGACCAAAATGAAATGCTTTCTACACCTCTTAATAACTCTTATCTCGTCGACCAACACTTTCGATTGTTTATCACCTCAGGCCACTGGCGCAAACGGCACGAGCTCTCGAAACAGTATTCCTGGTCTCGTGAGACTCCGTATTAACTTACACATAGGAGCTTTTATTGTTCGAACTCTATGCCAAATAGGGCAACAGCCTTCATTAGCTAGAACTCTGGAATCCCGGGTGATAGATGTATGCTGCGTCTCCGAACCGCGCACACACGATCCGAGCAAATCATAAATTTGATCTCACCTAGTACAGATAGATACACAACAAGATTTACGCTACGTGTTTCTGGAAGCCCTGGTGCCGCTTCTCGTGGCCTCGCCGGCGTAGGGATAGTAATAAGTCGTAGGGCAGAACTATCTCATCTAGACTGGATCCCGATAGACAGTTACTTATGCGCTGTCCGACTAAACGGGACGGCACGGACTCGGAAGGATAGGGACTCTCGCCGTTGCCTCTTCGTCGTATCTGCCTACGCTTCTACTGACTGCAGTCCAGACGACATGAAAGATAAGTTTTATAGAAACCTCTCTAAACTTCTCCACAAAGTTAGGCGCTCTGATATAGTAATAATAGCTGGTGACTTTAACGCTCAAGTAGGTAGACTCAGCGAAAAGGAAAGACAACTGGGTGGATCTTATGGTATCGTGGCTAATAGAACAGATAATGGCGACCGTCAGCCGCAGCTATGCTCAGATAACCGCCTATTCCTAGCAAACACTAGCTTTAGGCATAAGGAGAAACATCTTCTGACCTGGCGACCTCCAAAATCGCCCAAACACTGGACCCAATTAGGTCACATCGCTATAAGCCATCGGTAGAGAGGCTCTGTTGAAGACTGCCGCTCTTACCATGCTCTAGTGAGAGAGCGTATTTGTTTGTGCCTTATGGACGCAAGGAAACCTCTTAGGGCTCTACTTAATGATAATAAAGATAAAAATATATTTCAGGAACAGCTAGGAAAGCAGTTAAGCCGCCATGAAGTAAGTGACGCGTACCCTGGGGCAGCTTGTAATGATATCAAAAAAGTTGTGGAAACAGCAGTGATATCTTCTAGTCCTTTTGTGACAATCATATAGTTTCTAAATTGTTAGTCTCGATAATCCTTAGACGCCCAACTAGAGGTCATGAAGAGCAGAGAAGAGAAAACCAAGGTGGTTTTCGATCTTTACGTGGCTGTATAGACCACATTTTCATTCTACGACAGGTCCTAGAACACAGACACAGATATAGGCGTCCGATAATAGTTATCTTCCTGGACCCTAAGGTGGCATTTGATTCTGTCGATCGTGAGGTTCTGATGCAGTGTCTGTCATTGAAAGGTGTACCAAAGAAGTACATTAACCTTATACAAGCTCTCTACTCGAACACTATAGGTCGAGTGAGAGCCTATGCGAACTGTCATCGGAATTCTTCACTTCAAGTGGCGTGCTTCAGGGTGTAGTGAAGGAGAACACAGGTGAGGGCAACCTAATTGCATTTATCTCAAATTACAGAGTTATTTGGTAATATAGGAAAATCGTTAATTTGCAAAATTTCAATCCATCATATCGAACTGGACTGTTCCTGTTGCAAACATCAATCCATTGTCTGACATTTCACTGTTCATGCGTTTCATACAAATCCCTTTGTGTTCCCGCTCTTCCTTTCTTGATCTTCCCCCATCTTCTGTTGCCAGACATTACGTTTTTACTCGCGTCATATACTACTTATAAGTAGCGCGCACCACAAGGGCTGTCCACTCTATCCATTCCTGTTTAACTTTGTCACAGACATGCTTTTAGAGTTAACGTCATCTTCGTCTGAATTTTCAGGAGTAGACCTTCTACCAGGAGGTTCGCTTATTGACCTAGAATATGCCGATGACATAGTTCTGTTTGGTGAAGACGCTGACAAAATGCAGTCTCCTGACTACCCTAAGCAACAATGTGGTTCTCACTCTCTAATTGCGAAATCTTGCTTCAAGATTGGGTTGCTTCGGCACCTAAACTGGTGATAGGTAATGAAGTAGTCGAACGTGTAGACCGCTTCACTTATCTGGTGAGTCTCATCAGCGCTAATAGCCTGGTGACTGACGAAATCCCAGCACACATACAAACAGCTCGATTGGCTTTTGCCAACTTGCGTCATTTATGGCGTAGGCGAGATCACAGATATTTCAGAAGCATTGCTTGTGTATCGTGGGACAACCGAGTGAGCGATGCTGTCGTTAGAAAACGAGCACGATGTAGGGATGGCAGATGAATTGATGAAGTAGTGAAGCTTCATCAGTCGAGGTGGTTGGGACATGTGTTACATACGCCCAACCATCGACTGCCTCGACGAGCTATGTTTTGTGATGTAAGAGTAGGTAAGGAGAAATATATGGGCGGCCAAACCCAAACATGGCTGGAATAAATGAAGTCACTGACAAGTGGACTGAGTCCTGTCGGTAGTTGTCGACTACCTTGTTGGGGTCCGCGAGATGATAATAATCGATGATTAGAGACCTTGGACGACATGGCTCAAAATCGCTTGCACTGTTGCAGGTGCATCCACTCTTTGTGTATCCTAAAATTCTAATCTTTTGAATTCCTCATCACCTCTCTCTTCCTAAATTTATCTCAATTACACTGATTGAGCATTATCTTCAAACCCTAATCTTCTTCATTACCGATAATATTTTTACTACCTCTACAACTATGAGCTTTGAACTGACAATTGCTTCTCTGTTCTAATTTGCTACGGCAACTTCAACTGATGCTTGTACGTACTTAAGTTAAATATTGTATCTGACTAACTTACGATTATTTATAGTGCGTAAGTTGTTTAACGTGAATCTCGTGTTTATTTATTTAAAATATTTTTTCTTTAGAATTTAAGCTGTAGTAGTAGCTGATGCAATCAGATTTCGCCAAGATTTCCGGACATTGTCCGCCAAGTCAGAAACGCGATGTTCCATTCTCAGCTTATTTAAATGCTTTAGAATCCTAATGATAATTTAGATGTTTGCTGATCGTGAAAAAATCTCAGCTTCATTAACCGACATATATTTCATTACATATGCTGCATAATGTTGATGTAGATTTTCTGCTATAGTACAAATATAAATAGGGGAACCAGAAAGTTCACTTACTAATATTTCGTCAAGGTTGATAAGTGTAGTGACATTGTTTGTAATCCGTTTCATTCGGTTCTTATAAAACACCTTTAATCAATAGTTTTGATTTGGTTACTGTATGATTATGCCTGCATTCATTTTATATTTAGTTGAGCCTAATATTTCGGGGTTTAAACTTCTGCTGTTGCAGGTACACACATTTCAATGGCAGATAATGTCAAGAAAGAGCAATACTATGACAAAATATTTTCTTTCGGATCAGTTTCATCACGATGGTAAGACGTTATTTTTAAAGGACGAACTTTTTACAGTAATGTGAAATGCATGATTTCTGAAAAGGTTTGCAAGATAGCATTCAGAATGATCACTCAATGCAAACAGAATAGCTTAAAAACTTATCTGTATGGAAGGTATTCATTTGTTGGGGTTTCAAGCTTGAATGTTATCGTGAATAGAATTGAACTTAATAAGCAATGTTATCAATCGTGCGCTCCTGATGAGTTTTTGATACCCTTTGAGGTATTATTCTTGGTTTCCATTTTGAATGTATGATTTTTCTGAACGTTAGCTTGCCAAATATGATATTTTTAGCGGTGCGAAAAATCAGTATTTAGATTGTGCCGTTCGAACCATTTGGAATAATTATACTTTAAAACCTATTAGTTTGGATATCACCAATTGTATACAGTTCTGGGCGTACGCATGTGTCACAAAAAATGGCGATAGCACTAATAGCAGAATTAAAAAACTTCGAAATTCGACTTCTGAAATGTACTTTTCGAAGTTTAAAGTGGAATGTTTGGTTTTAGACTATTTAGTGAGTCTAACACCAGTTGAAAAGCCGTCCTTAGTTCCATCATTACTCGTAAAAAGTCTTGAGACACCTGATTTTCATCTGTCTGCATTTACTGAGTCATTAAATAACGATGACAGTGAGTCTGATGTTCGATTTGGGTAAGTCTTTTTTTTGTAATAATTGTTACTTCTTCTAGTTTTCTCAAAATGACTAACACGGGGCAAATTTCACTTCATTTGGAAACCGATCCAGCTATTCTAACTTCATCTCCTATCGGAATGTAAGATAGCGAATTTCATTATGTTAATCCAGTCAGTTAGTTTTATCATATTTCATGCAACGAATCAATTATTTAATTTGATCTTTGAGTTTTATGTACGACTCATAAATACTGACTTAGTTGATAACCTCAACTACCTTACGGGCTTGTTACCTATTTATCTTTAATAGCACTTACTCTTCTTTTAACCAAAACTCGATATATCCAACAATCATTACTATCGGCTAAATACCTTTGGTTTCTTTTGAAATCGCTTTCTGTTGTATCTAGACTTTTTCGTATTTTAACTGTATTGTCAAACTAAACGCCGAATCAAAAGTGGCTTTGGTGATAGTCGTTATATGTTATTTAGAAAAAGCGTATGAGATCTCAGAGGTATGTCTTCATGGTTTACAATAGTCCTCCAACTTTACACTTTGGAGTTTATTGTCAAGTACTATTAAGTCTGTTCAGAGCTATTGTCAAACTAGAGTCAAATTTAGTGGTTTTAGACCATTGTTAGTAACAACTAATCATTCGAAGAGTTTGAAATTTTCGGATTCGGAAAACTGAAAGCGGATACGCTTCTCAGTGCTTCAGACATTCTAAGATGAAAAGAGGGTAGTAACGGTGCCGATGCAATGTAGTATTGAAGCAAGATTTTGTATTTCGAGGGGGAAAAACGCATCTCGATTATGTTTTCATTGTCGCTCAGGGTAGTCAGAAGAAAGCGTCTTCACCGAATAAAACTATCTTGTCTTCAATAGGCGAGCCTCGTGATAGAAGGTCTACTCCTGAAAATTCAGACGAAGGTAATGTTATATCAGAATAGAGTTTATATGATTTGAATTATTTTTTCTTGTTATCGTTTTTTCGGCAAGTTTAATTTTGAGGGATGGGGTCGCCAACCCTAATCCCAACTCTCCTCCTTTATCCAGGCTTGGGACCGGCAGTAGCTCCGTAGGGTCTACCGGCTGATTTCAACCATTAACATGGCTTTTTAGTGTGATGAAAATAAGTTTGATTTTTTTAGTTGTGGATAATAATTTAGTAACGTATAAAATGATTTTAATTAATCATATTATCAGTTTTTTTCACCCGAAAAATACATTTCTTTTCAACAGTTACGTTTATATGCTTGTATAGAATTTAAATTAGATTCTTTTAAAATGTTTTATAAATTCAAGATGGATTTCTGGAGTTAAAGAAGTCTGTGATTTTCGCGTATGGAAAACCTGTTTACACTTTATTTTGATCAATGATACCCAGATAAGCAGATCCGTAAGAAATGATCATTTAGGATTCATAAATTCGACAAATAATTCACCCATGTTGTTGGCCGTTTACGGATGTGATTCAAACTTACCACAATTTTATGAAACTAGTATAGTATTTTCACCTGATACTGATGCTTTTGATTCTTCAGTTAATGTGAAGCTATACAGAAATTTTAAAGATCCAGTGCAGGTAATGTCGTTTTTATCAACATAAGTTGCTGATATATAAACATATCGTCCGGGTATCACGCTTTTTTACTTAAATTATCCTAATTAATTTGATTTTTGAAGTAGCGATCTATCAACTGCATAATACTTACTTTTAGTAGCAAAAATAGAATTCACTGAAACAGTTTACCATCGTTCGTGTTGAAAAACATTGACATTGGCATTTTCATTGTACATAATATCTCTGTAGGAGCTTAGGATTTACATATTCACAATCAGTTTAATGGTTAAACATTGGTATAAGTTGTTAGTTTTATACATTCAAATTTGTCGCTAAATTATTCCTGGACCAACTAGTCATACTTCCCGTTCTTATTAGTTATGTGGAACATTTTTACTTTTCATTGTATACCATTCCTGTATTTTTGTATCATGATTAGCAAGTGAAAACAGTTTTTGTGTACCAGACTCTTCATTAATTGGAATTCCTTGAATGTCATATTGATTTCGCATAATTAGGGAGTTGTTTTGATTTATTTGTTCTGAACAAAGTGGGATGTAACATCCTTCATATGAAGCCAAGATATGATGCTCATCGATATAAATGTTATAAACTGTGGAGTCGGATAAACACATTGCAACATTACGGGAAAAGGACGAAAATTCCTTTGTCGTAATATCATATCATTGCAATATAGATATCGATTGTAACAAAAAATATTTACTTCTAGAAAGCATTATCATACCGATCGTTGCCAAATTGAAATGTTTTATAAGAAGATTAATTTCGTGTATAATTTTCCCAAACTTTTCATTTCACCTCTTAATTTTCAATGGACTATAAAACATAATACTCTGTCTCTGTATGTTCACAAATAGAAACAGAAATGAGGTAGTTTTCTACCTACATCCTTGAATGGTGATCGCGTAAAAAGACTTGTTTCCTTTGAACGAACCAACACGCAGATGACATTTTAGTTGTAAATATACAACAAAGTCGGAAGATTTGACTACCCTATGCTCGAACAATGGCTTTATACTAACGTGCCTCAATCGAAGAGGAAGAACAAAGACTGATGACCTCCAGTCCAAGATAAATTACTAAACTTCAAACATTTCCTTATAAACACACAAGCAGATCACATCGCACCAATAAATGAAAATTAAAAACTATATATCACTTAGCCAAAAGTGGCTGTGGGTAAGAGAGACTGCGAATAATGAACTAACAACAAATTAAGAACAAATCATACCAGGAAATATACATAGATAATAATCTACTTGCTTAGTAATTATACAGGTAGACTATATACAACAATAATCCATTGTTAAGCTCGTCACTTGATATGCTTGAAACTATTACGAGTTCACCTTAGTCGATAAACGAGAACGAAACAATGAACCAGTGACACAATATCCAATATCTTTTTCACGAGCTAGTATAAACCAATTGATTTCTTTGCGCTCGGTTCTTGTTCTTTCGGTACGGTTCCAGGTGTTTTGTAGTGTCCACTGAATGGTGGTCTAGCCACTCGACTGTCTAATTCTAGTCAGTTGGCAGTTAGTAACTCGAGATCGTGCTCTAAGGAGATTTCAGGGAGCGGACCGCCAATTGAGGGTGTAAATCGTTTGCGTCATGTGAGGCAGAATATACATGACGTGACACTTCGGTTGGTTGAGTTTTAAACCGTTTTTCACTTCCCATTCCTCAATGGATGTAAGGTTCTCTTAAAACTCAACTGAATACTCCGCTTCTAATGGACCTCCAGATCTTCACATTGTCTGCGTAGATCAATGCTGGTGAACTAACTGAGCCGAACAGGTCGTTAATAAATATCAGGAAGAGGAGTGGACCTAAGATGGTCCCCTGTGAAACTTTCGATGTGAATACTCGCCAGCTCGCGTGCACTCTATTGACTTTGGTGAGATAAGCTACTTTGATCCGTTGTCCCAACTAACCGAAGAAAAAGTCTTGATATGGCGTAGAAAGTGTATTCTACAAGCACCTAGAAAATACAATGATCTCAAGCACACAAATTGCGTTTATTTATACATCATAGAAACGTCGTTTGGAGATTCACGAAAATAGCGTACTAAAATAACATCGAACAATCACAGCCAAGGATTTTCCTGGTGAGAAATGTGATCTCAAAGTCAACTGATCAGCCCACGAATAAAATCCAAAATTAGGGCCTTTATCAGGTGAGTTCTGGGTATTTAACGTTTCCAAAATCCTTAAACTAGGTTCTTAGATTACTGTTTACTTTAATCGTCATCCGGATGTAATAAAAACATTCAATCTAAAAATTCATTTGTTCTTTTCGCTCATGTGTCCTAGGTTATCCAGAAATGGATTTGTCGTATGATTTATTTATTTATTCCCTAGTAGGACTAACTGGATAATGGGAGGAAATTTTACTTTCTTAACTTACTTTCCTATTTCAAATCAGCACAGTTAAAATTTATACTACAAGTAATCAAAATACGATACAGAGTATCATTTTATTGTTTTCTTATTCAAACATTTTCCAGTTAAAGTTTACTGTTTTATCAAGTCTTGAAGATTGGATATCTCTTCCAAAATTCAGTTCCAGAAATTCAGAATATTTCACGTGGAATTTGGTGAATAATACATTAGATAAAGAACATTTAACTACCTTGAAAAATTCGGTAAAACAATTTTGTGATTCTGTTCGTGGTTTGGAATATTTTGAAGAAAATTTCGTTCATCTAACGACTTCTGTGTTTTCCGAAGTATCACAAATCTCTATTCATTCCGTATCTGAAAACCAGAGCAACGTGAAAGACGACGTAAATTCTCATCCATCTAGCCGGGAATTTAAAAGGTTAGTTTAATTCATTGAGGACGAAAAGTCTCATAGTAGTTGGAAACAGAGTCAATATAAGATATTAAAGCGGAAAATTACATTTGTAAGCCTCAGCAATTTAACTTTAAGTAAATCCAACGTTTCGCTCGGCAATCTGCTCCTAGCTAATGCTTTAGTAATTACATTGGCAATCACAATGCCGTTATGACTAACAGCCTAGTAAGTGACGTCATATTTGTTTACTGAGTTCAGTTCCCCCCTTATTGTGTTTCTCTCTAATTATCTATCCTATTTATAAACAAAAACTAATTATTTATTTATTCGTTAGATTTTGATGAAAAGTTAGATAAATTAAATGGTAGCTGATATGTTGATAAGCCAACAGAATGGCTAATTTTTGCTTATCATTCTGCTGCTTTGGTAACTGAGTCTTTACGCAGTTCAAAAAGCTATAGGAAATTTAAAGCGGAAGAGATCAGCTGGACCTGGCCGGCTTACATAGGAGATTTTTAAAGACGGTGGCCGAGTTTTAGCAGTTAAATTAACTGAGAACTTAGGTGGAATCTGGGAACTGGGCGTATACCGATCTGACTGGTCTCAATCGCTGATTGTCCCAGTCTATAAGAAAGGACAAAAGTCCTCTTGTGATAATCACAGCGTAATACGTCTAACTAATATGGTATCGAAAATATTGGCCTTAATAATACTCCGACACCTAACCAGAGGTCATGAAGAGCAGACAAGAGAAAGCCAGGCTGGTTTCAGACCTGGACGTGGCTGTATAGACCACACATTCACAGGTCCTCGACCAGAGCAACACATAAGCGCCCGACAATAGTTGTCTTCCTGGACCCAAAAGTGGCATTTGACTCAGTGGATCGTGAGGTTCTGTAGCAGTGTCTGTCATTGAAAGGTGTACCAAAAATGTACATTAACCTTATATAAGCTCTCTAGTCTAACGCTACAAGACGAGTTAGAGCTTATGGCGAACTGCCACCGGAATTCGTTACTTCAAGTGGTGTCCATCAGGGATGTCCACTTTCTCCCTTCTTGCTTAACTTTGTTTAAGATATGCTTTTAGAGTTAACATTAGACTCGTCAGATTTTTCAGGGGTTGACCTTCTACCAGGAAAATCGCTTACTGACCTAGAATATGCCGATGACATAGTTCTATTCGGTGAAGATGCTGACAAAATGCAGAGTCTTCTGACCACCCTAAGCAACAATGCAAGCATGATCGAGATGCGATTCTTCCCGTCGAAATGCGAAATGTTGTTTCAAGAGAGGGTAAAGCAATGCTGTCGTTAGGAAACGAGCGCGAGGTAGGGATGGCGGATCAATTGATGAAGAGGTGAAGCTTCATCAGTCGAGGTGGTTCGGACATGTGTTACATACGCCCAACCATCGACTGCCTCGACGAGCTATGTTTTGTGATGTAAGAGTAGGTAAGGGGAAATATATGGGCGGCCAAACCTAAACATGGCTGAAATAAATGAAGTCACTGATAAGTGGACTGAGTCCTGTCTGTAGTTGTCGACTGCCTTGTTGGGGTCCGCGAGATGATAATAATCGATGATTAGAGACCTTGGACGACATGGCTCAAAATCGCTTGCACTGTTGCAGGTGCATCCACTCTTTGTGTTTTCTGAAATTCCAATCCTAAGAATTCCTCTTCACCTCTATTTTTCTCTTTCTAAAGTTAGCTCTCTGAATTATACTTCTTGAACAATATCTTCGAACCCTAATTTTCTCATTTGCCTCTAATACGATTATTGGATTTGAATTGAAAATTGCGTCTATGCGCCATTCGTGTATGGCAACCTGAACTTATATAAGTACGTACGAAGTTCCACGTTTTTCTGACTAACTGAATATATATAATAAATTTCGATTGTTGGGTTTCTCTCTCTATATTCTTCTTCCTGGATTGTATGAAATAGTCACAAAGGATTTTCACATGACATGAAAATCTTCACATTTTTGCATGTATTCATGTTGCCTTAACTTCCTTATATACTTTTCCAGCTTGAATTTATCAGAATCTCATGTTCTGGAGGCGTCTTTACTATCTGAAGAGGGTGTTAGCAATTTATATCAGAATTTTGAAGGAAGTCATTCTTGTCGCATTACTTCAGAACAATTAGATGAAGAATCGTTACCAAGAGAGCCTCCCAGAAAATCAAACGATTTCATTAGAAGTAGTGAATCATCTGAGAATAATATCACTCAAGAGGATGCTAATCATTATGATCCGAATCGTTATCGGAATTTTTCTACACCTATTTCTTCAAATGCATCAAATTTACAAGTTGACATAACTTCAACACAATATCCACCACACACTGGAAGTGTTGATAACAAACTTTCCTTTTCACAAGTTCATTCAAGATTTGACAGTACTGATATAACACTGCATTTTCGTTCTATCCTTTCAAACCTTCCGTTGAATCAGTTGGAGCGTCTCGAACGGATCATTAATAACATGTTAGGGAAGAAGAAAATCGTCTGCTTAGCACCAGATACTTCTAAAGATGGTTGTGAACATAAAAACAACCAGGATTATCCTAACAAGCATGATCTAAAACGAGGTATAAGTATTGGTGTTAACACAACTTTTGTATCCACTGGAGTCAATTTAAACGATAAAGGTATTCTTATATTTTAAATCTTACAACATATCCTATAAAATTTCTATTATTTACTTATTTATAGTTAGTTCATAGCCAAATTGCTTTGAACGTAAAGTAATTATTGGATATGTCTAATTCCACTCGCACACTGCATATTTTTTATATATAACTATCTACGTATTAGGATCAGCCTGACAACATACAAATAACGATAGAGATCTAAATAATGTAGTAAGAATCATAAGAAGATGGACAGAAATTTGGGAATACGGTTAGGAAAGTCAGAGTTGAAAGGTATATATGAAGGGATACAGGTGTATGCAAGAGCGAGAAAAAACTTAAAAGTGCATTCTTTTGGGATATTATGTCTGCTTCTAGCAACATAACTCGGTTCAATATTTGGGGATTTCATAGAGTGGTGCCACATCTTGATATGATCACCTCTAGCTTTTTTTCGACCTACTCCTACACCAGACAACTTTGTCCGTTCAGGTAGGCAGGCTTGTGCAATACTTACTCGAACCACCTTATTTAATAAAGGTATAGTACCTCATCAATCGATGTGGCACCTTTATTTAGTAACCTATCCCTGACCTAGGAATTGTTCAATCGGTGGTCCCAAAGTACACGATGTCTATGATCAAATACTGGTAGCCTACTGATATCCTCCATTCATAATGGGCATGTTTCATACCCTTAAAGCAGAACGGAGTGGACTAACATAGTCATAGTCAGCATAGTCATTCCTTGGCAGGCAGAGGGATATATCACCTACCTCAACGCGAGTTGGCATAAGCCAGTCGCGCCTTCTTTATCCGTGCCAAGGTTTCATCAGACAACAGCCCGCCAGGACTGATATGACTCCAAAGATAGGCAAAGTAGTAAATTATTTCACTTCCTATTCCTAGTTTAGACACCGAAGCAAACCGGTCTTGAAGCAACATTCGGCTTTTGGAGGAGCATCCCGAACATGCTTGCATCGTTGCTTAAAGTGGTCAGAAGACTGCATTTTGTCAACATCTTCACCAAACAGAACTTTTATCTGCATATTCTAAGTCAACTAGTGAACCTCTTGCTAGTAATTCCACTTCTGAAAAGTTGGATCAAAGTGTTATCTCTAAAAGGATGTCTATGGCTAAGTTGAATAACAGTGGGAAAGGCAAGCAACCCTGAAAAACACCACTTGATATAATCAATTCTGATGATGCTTCGTTATAAGCTCTGACTCGACCAATGGTGTTCGAGTAGAAAGCCAGTACAAGTATAATGTTATTTTGTGCGCCTTTCAAAGCCAGACATCACCACACAACCTCACAAGTGACGAATTCAAACGCCGCTCTAAGGTCAGTGAGTAATTTGGGCGTTGGAAAGTATCCCTATATCCTAGGATCTGCTGCTGTTTGAACTTTTCGTCTATAAATGCACGTCCAAGTCTGAAAGCTGACTCGTTTTCTTGAGTTTGATCTTCATCAGCCCCTTGTTAGATGTCGGAGTATTATCGAAGGCAATATTTTAGACATTGTGATAGTCAAACTGATTTATCTGTGATGGCTACAACAGGAATTTTGCCCTTTCTAATGGACTGCGATGATCATCAACCGAGACCAGTCAGGTAAGAATACGTCCAGTTCCCAAATTCTAACTCGGATGTCAGTCAATATAACTGCTAAAACCGGACAGTCCATCGGTCCAATCAGTTGGGTTGCGAATGGAAAACATTCATGTCTTTCTGTGATATAGTTCCACTAACAGCCGGATTTTACTGCTCGTTTCCTTGATAAGCCTGAATGGTTGTCTACTGTTACCTTTTGGTGCTGCCTTTTCCATCTCTTTTGCTTTCGTTAACCACTACTGTTTCGAGCGGTTATAAACTCAGTAAATACCAAACAAAAATCCACTAAGATTTAATTCTTTAGCTTTAAGTAACACGGTTGTCACATGTGTACTTACAGTGATTCGGGTATATTTCCAAGCTCCATTAGGATGCATTGTTTCTTTTTGAGGTGTTTAACTAATTACATAAATGAAAGTTGTGACTCTTTTTCCGTCAGACTGATGTAAGTTGAACTATCAACGAGTTCCTTTTTCAAAATCTCCTAAAGTTTTTTAACAAATCCGTTTTTGAATAATGCAATGGCATCTTACTTAGATTGGCCATCCTGCACATTTTCTCGATTGATTATTACAGCACCTGGCTCTATATCTGGTCCTATTGTAACACTTCTCGTCCAATTCTGCAATGCTTCTTTAGTCTGGCTAATACCAGATGATGATCTGAAGCTATTAGAGCTCCTCTCTATGTTCTTATGTCTTTTAAAGAATGTAAAAATTTCTTATTGATACATATATTATCGATCTGGTTTCTCATAGTTGCGAAACCCATAGAACATTTCGAATATATTTATGAAGGCAAATGCTGCCACTATGACCATGTTGTTGAAAGCACATAGATCTACTAGTCGCTGGCCATTGTCGTTTTATGCTCTCAGTTCATATCTCACTATAATGCGTTGGCACTTAGTATTGATTATCTCAACCCTGGCGTTTAGGTCCGTCATCAGTATGCCCGGGTGTTCCTCTGATAGATGAACTGCTTGGTCTTTTAAAAGTGGTCTTTATAATACTCCCAGTCATCACTGATGAATTTATAACTTTTTTTCTTGAAGGATACTTTGATATTACTGGATCTACGAGTTTCTTATCTTGTGTGTTTTTTCGCTTCTTTGAACAACAGCTACTTATGTGTTGGGGCAATTTCTTTTCCATGATCAGAGTACATCTTTACTAAAGTTAATGTTTTCTGTCTAGATTGTACGCTATAAATTTCACTTATTTCAAACACTGACAGGTTATCTCTTTTCATTTCGGCTCCTATTCAGAATATCCTCCGAGGTTTTCAGATTATTCAAACAACTTGTGTACCCTGTTAAATGTTGATCTGATTGTTCAGAAGGAAATTATCTCATCACTTCCGAAGAATCTGGGCTTTCCCATTAAGGCATCATAACTCGCCTATATGGAGAGCCTTCAATCCCGAGAGTAGATTTCAAATGGTTTAAGTTGCTTTTTTATGGTCAGCGTCTTTGTAGTAAGGTCTTTTTTACGATGTGAGGTCGCTATTTCTACGTCCAATCCTCCTCCTTTACTTAGGCTTGGGACCAGAAGCAACTCTCAAGATGTTCAGGCATTAGTTATAGTCATAATTTAACGTAAGAAAATCTCTTCTCTTTAAAAGGTGGTTTTTCTTGCTACAAATTTACCAACACAATACCACTATACCTTCTGATAAGAACTTATGCTAAACGTTCATTTTATTTTTAGAACAGCTAAGCGATACTCAGAGTTGTGATATTTTGAATAACCGGGACGTTCAATATTCAGTTTTTAGAAAGAAATTATCCTTTAAAACTAAAAGACTATGTATGCTACATCACAGCAGTAATATAAATTATTCAAGGCCTGAAACGGTTACGAATTCTAACCCTATTTCGCAAATCAAGTCATCAAGCTCAGTCCATTCGAAAACCATAAAAGGAGTAAGTTTTATTTAAAATAACTTTTTTTTTCAAGTAACAACGGAGAGATCATGTGGTCACTTTTATAAACGTTCAATGACTATCTTCCATCTGGGTTACGGTTTACACTGTCTTTAGCTGCCAAATTTAGGACCGTTTGTAAGCACAACGTCAATCCTATCCCTTGGTAACTAATATTTATGCCTAAAATTGGTCTTGCTTGGAAAACCAAAACTACTTAATTACTTTTGTTGATTCAGAAGTAAATATGTTGTAGTGTACCATCTGATAAATTTAATATCTTAAATGGTGAAATGACTCAGAATTGTTCAGATGTATGCATCTTTAATATTTTTCTTGCTCATAAATCCCAATATCCCTTCATAAATAGCCTTTTACTATATCTTTTCAAACCATATTAACAACGTTTAATCTCTCTGCTTATCATTCCTGTCACACTTCCATCTTATCGTACTTATCACTTATAGCAACTTCAACCAATGCACATCTGTACCAAGCTCTATGTCTATGGTGTCTATTTACAGCTAAAGTTCATTCAATATATTGATCACAAAACGAGGTAATTTTTCTTGTTAGTTACGGTAACATTAAATATTGTTTCGTTGAAGGAATCTGTTTATTCTTTTGATTTTTGTTTGCAACAACGTTGAGTTCTATTCAGTTTTCGATTGACAAAAGTCTTCCTCTTTCTTGCTGATTTCATTCATAGATGATTGAGTAAAGTCGCTCCTTTCTGTTAAGTCAGTGAGTGACATTTAAGTGATTATTATTTCCTCCAAGGAGTGATTTTATGTTTTGAATGCTGCTAGAAATTGTTGTCTAATAATGAATACACATTTTCATTTTTGGTGTATTTAGATTAGTTTAATTGATCTAAAAGTACTCCAAAACGAATCGGAAATCTAAAAAATATGTTCTAGTCCGTTTGGCTTTCTGTTCATTATAACCGAAGTTCATAAATATTAACTAATAAAGTAGAACTCCAAGTAATAGGGGGAAATCGGTGACTAACTAGTAAAAGCATGAATAAATACTGATCTACAGTTCCAGAAGTGAAAAAGTTAAATTCATATCCGTGTTATATTGTTTATTGTAATAATCTAGTTTTTTTCCTAAACTCAGGAGGAACTACAAATGGATTCACAATGCCAAAATGATACTGCAGATAAATACAGTTCATTGTTAGTAAGTTTGAACAAATAATTAATTATCATATGCTTTTTTAATGAAATGTTAAACTTCTTGTTAAATGTTAGAGTCTCTCTGTAAACCCTTACATGATTCGAATGAATAGGTGAATATTGTAGCTCGTTATAAATAAACGTGTTGTATTGGTGGATCCGATTGTATTTCATACAAAAACATTCAAGGGTACTGTAAGCAACCAGCCACAATTAAATTATTATTCTGAATAAGTAAAGTGTGGTTCACCAAAGTTGTTTAAAAAAAAATACAAAATACCTTTGAATATGTGAAAAGTAGTTTAACTCGTTTTGGCAAGCATGGTATTGAATTTGAAAGGAATTGGGAAGTATATACTGAGATTTCGAATAAATATTTATCAGTTAAGATCATTATTAAACAATTGGTTGTAGGAAACTCATCACTACACATCAACGTCCTCGACTATGAGAAGGCATATGACAGGTGTATAGAAGAAAATTAGAAAGCCTTCGTCAGTAATGTGGTATACGTCAGAAGATAGTCAATATCTTGCAGCATTCTCACGACAGACTACACTGCAAGATCGTTCGTGGAAAGAAACTCACATACTCACTAAGTGAAAACTGGTGTCAGACAAGGCTGTTTACTCTCATTCTTCTTCTGTTTGACTGGATTATGAAAAACTCAACATCTCAGAAAGCAAAAGAGACGGTGGAAAGCCTGTATGCAGCCGGACGATTTCGACTTCGCATATCACCTAGCCGTTCTGTTTTACACACAGAAACAAGTGCACGTGAAAATGGCCAGTGTAACAGCAGTAGGCCTTAACATATACCAAGGAAAAATCAAGACCTTTAAATACTAAACAAACAGCACCAGCTGAATCACACTCGACAGAGAAGCCTTGGAAGATGTGGGAACTTTTACGTACCTGGGCAGTATCGTTAACAAACAAGGGGAGCTGATGCAAATGTGAAGGTACGGATTCGAAAGTCAGGATAGCATTTCTACATTTAAAGGACATCTGGAACTCACAACAACTCTCAACCAACACTAGTCAGGATTCTCAATACAAGCATCAAGATAGTCCTATTGGTGAAATTTAGTGAACTACAAAGACCATCGTTCAAAAGACCCGAGCATTAAAAAACAGAGTCATACTGATAAAAGATGTAATATTTCTGATTATTTTCATGGTTAGCTCGTTCGAACACCGACAGCCACCAAACTTCGCTGTAAAATAAGATTCTGCTTACGTTTGTCGTTTTCTATGAATTACGTTATATGAGATGATATCGGTCATTATTATTCAAAAAATAGATTGATATGTATTTAGAAGGGTAATTTACTGTACACCAGAAACCTGGGTAAAGTCTAACAGAAAGCATTTAAAGAAGCCAGTATCGTATCTAATGAACAGTACAACTCTGAAGAACTTTTATTCTTAAGAATAATATAAGAAAACTACAGCATGTTGGCCGTTATCCAAAATTTCGAACCAAACCTGCTAACATTTCAAGCTAATGAGCTTCATAGATTGTTAGACACAGTGTAAAGAGTCGCGATGAAACAACAAATGACAACCTAAAACAACTATTCCGGGATATATATCTCTAGTTTATAATCTAAGAAATTTATTTGCGTCTAATAACTGCGTCATTGACTAATGATGACGTGCCTTAACTCCAGAGTCGAGATAAACGCATTATAATGAGATATGAACTGAGAGCATAAAACGACAATGGCCAGCGACTACTAGTTCTATGTGCTTTCAACAACATGGTCATAGTGGAAGCATTCGCCTTCATAAATATACTTGCAATGTTCTATGGGTTTCGCAACTATGAGAAACCAGATCGATAATATATGTATCAATAAGAAATTTTTACATGCTTTAAAAGACATAAGAACATAGAGAGGAGCTCTAATAGCTTCAGATCATCATCTGGTATTAGCCAGACTAAAGAAGCATTGCAGAATTGGACGAGAAGTGTTACAATAGGACCAGATATAGAGCCAGGTGCTGTAATAATCAATCGAGAAAATGTGCAGGATGGCCAATCTAAGTAAGATGCCATTGCATTATTCAAAAACGGATTTGTTAAAAAACTTTAGGAGATTTTGAAAAAGGAACTCGTTGATAGTTCAACTTACATCGGTCTGACGGAAAAAGAGTCACAACTTTCATTTACGCATTATCTCCTTAAAGTACAAAATTCCTAATCCGATGAAATACAATGGCTCATAGTTTGAAAGACACATTTTAGTTCTTTGAAGAAATGGATCAAATAGAAATATCCGATCAGTTTTTATTGTACAATTTGATGTTGCTGATTATTTACAAGCATACAGTTACAGGAGAAACTGTGAATGTAATTTGTAATCATATCCTCGATATTTGGAGGCTTATTGATATGGTTAATAATTGTGATACATGGCAATGTCTTGTTTATTCTTTGTCTAGCCTAAACAATTTAAATTTTTTTTCGGACATGTATTTTATATGTTCATCTTTTTATATTTTACATATTTCTTTTATTCTAAGTTTGTACTTACGAGTTCATTTAACTGTGTTTACTTTTTCGTATTTAAACAATTACATTAAAAGTGGTACGAACTGGTACTAATATACAAATGCACTACTCACGTAAATGCTATTGTATGGATCCTAGAAGGCTATCTAGTTGCTGAAACCAAAATAAGTGGTTTTCTGAAGGTGCCACTTCCACAAACATCGATCAAAAAGTCAGTCAGTCAGTCAGTGACAATAAACGACTTCATACGTACGTACATCAATTAAAGTTGCCATGTCACATTGGCACAGACGCAATTTTCAATTCAAATCCAATAATCGTATTAGAGGCAAATGAGAAAATTAGGGTTCGAAGATACCATTCAAGAAGTATAATTCAGAGAGCTAACTTTAGAAAGAGAAAAATAGAGGTGAAGAGGAATTCTTAAGATTGGAATTTCAGAAAACACAAAGAGTGGATGCACCTGCGCCATTGCCAACGATTTCGAGCCAATCGATTATTATCGTCTCGCGGACCCCAACAAGGTAGTCGACAACTACCGACAGGACTCAGTCCACTTGTCAGTGACTTCATTTATTTCAGCCATGTTTAGGTTTGGCCGCCCATATATTTCCCCTTACCTACTCTTACATCACAAAACATAGCTCGTCGAGGCAGTCGATGGTTGGGCGTATGTAACACATGTCCCAACCACCTCGACTGATGAAGCTTCACTACTACATCAATTGATCCGCCATCCCTACCTCGTGCTGGTTTCTTAACGACAGCATTGCTTACTCGGTTGACGCAGGATACATGATCAATGCTTCGAAGATATCTGTAATCGAATACTAATAACCTATGAATATCCTCAACCCTCACCGGCCATGTTTTGCATCCATGTAGTAGGACGGAGCTAACTTCTACGCAGTAAACTCAGTCGTCGGTTAGCAAACGGATATCTCGCCTACGCCATAGGTGACGCAGGTTGGCAAAAGCCAATCGAGCTTTCTGTATGTGTACTGAGATTTAATCACACACCAGGCAATCAGCACTGATGAGATTCGCAAGATAAGTGAAGCGGTCAACATGCTCAACTGATTCACTCCCTATCGCTAGTTCAGGTGTCACTGCAAGCCAGTCCTGAAGAAACATTTTGCGTATCGACGTACATGTTTGTATTGTTGTTTAAGCTAGTCAAAAGACTTCATTTTGTCACCGAATAAGACTACGTCATCGGCATATTCTAAGTCGAGAAGTGTATTTCTTGGTAAAAGATCAATTGCTGAAAAATCAGTCGATTAGTGTGTCTTTGTCAAAGTTGAGTGAAAATGGAGGACGAACACCATTCGACGTATTCAGTTCTCATGACAGTTTGCATAAGCTCCCACTCGACGTGTGATTTTCGATTGAAGAGCTTCTGTGGTACACTTTTCAATGACAGAAATCGCCATAGAACCTTACGACCAACACGGTCAGATGCCGATTTAAGTTCCAGGAAGACAACTATCCCCGGATAATAGAATGTGTGTCTGTGTTCTAAAGCCTGTCGAAGTGTGAATATTAGGTGTATAAAGCCCCTTCGATATCCGAAACCAACCTGGTTTCCTCGAGTATGTTCTTTACGAGCTCTAACTAGGCGTCCAAGTATTATCGGAGTTAACATCGTAAACACTATATTAGTTAAACTGATCCTTCTGTAATTGTAACTAGAAGATTTTTGTGGTTTCTTATAAATTTGAGCAATCGCGGATTGAGACCATTCAGATGGGATTATGCCCAAATCCTAAATTCTACCAGATGTTGACATCTTCATAATCCAGTCGATCAGCATGAAGAAGAAAAAGGATGAGGGTAAGCAACCTTGCCTGACACTGTGCTTCACCTCGAGCGAGTCTGTCAGTTGTACAACTTGCGTACAATGCGTTTCACTGATTCCAAGAACTTCCAGGTTGTATCTTTTCATTTCTGCAGCAACTTAGAATAGCGTTCCGGTCTCTCACAATTTTCGAACGTTCTGTTTACCTAAAAGTATGGTTTCTCTGGTTTTCAGAAGGGGCATCGGCCTCATTACTACCGATGGAACTTGGCTTTCATCCTGAGACGTCATAACTCTTCTGGAAGAAGACCTAACTCCTGGAGCAGAGTTTCTATGGTTTGAATTGTTTTTTTGCTTAGCAAATTTTTAGCGAGTTAGTTTTTTATGGGATGGGGTCGCCAACCCCATGCCCAACATTTATCCGGGCCTTGGATCGGCAGTAGCCCCAGGGGGCTCCTGGCGGAGTAGTTTGTTTGACATGGTAAATTTAAAATCAACCTTTCATTATGATTTCAACTATTTTTATGTTACTTGACAGGCAAATATAAAGCAACTTCTGAATAATAGAACGAGGTATGATTCTGCCGCTTCTGCACCCTGTCCGAATAACAATAATAATACAAAAGAGTTTGTCGATCAAGAAATGCGTACATCGAATTCTATCCCTACTATTTTTCTACAAAAAGATTTGATGTGTCTGGTAAATAGTAACAAAAATCCTGAAAATGTCAATCGAAGAGTCTCAAATTGGCTGCAGTGTGACCAAACTAATGGAAACAATAATTCCTCGTCATCGGCTTCCAAGGTCAATGATATTGCATTGTGTAAAAGTAATTTTAAAAGGCAAGTTAGTTTCCAAAGTACTTTTTCATGCATAAAAATTAAATCCAGTATTATGGCATCTAATACATGAACTGAAATTAGTCAATGGTGGTAAAAAACCACTTATGGCACGTATCAGATGCGACATTGTTAACTTCATCTGAGTAAGAAGCTGAAGACATCAGATAATGGTAAATGCTCGGTTACAATCAGAAGTCAGATTTATTGGCAGATGCCTTAAAGCTTTCACTATTTTCCATATAAGAGTTCTCTGCAGCTAAAGATTCTGAAACACAAAAAAACTAAGGAAAATACCTTTGTCATTCAAAACGGTATTCACGGCAATCAATATATCTATCAGCAAAGAAAAGATCCTAAAATAATTATTATTTGAAGAATTTCCCACGTATGCGTAGTTAGAAAATTAAACCTCTAGAGCTTTTCATAGGGTCATGCGGCAGTTTGACTAATAACCCGACTGAGCGACTCACAAAATAAAAAATGATAAGAATTATATGAGAACGCACGTTATTTTTGTGTACAGACCTTGTGTCGAATAGGACAGCATGTTTCCTTAACTAGGACTTAAGAATCTCGTGCCATCGTTGTATGCTGCGTCTCCGAAACGTGCGCACAGAATACGAGTAGAGTCATTCACTTGACCTCACCTTGTCAGCTTAAGATAACAACTCGGTTTACGCTCGGTGTATCTGGAAGCCCTGCTGCAGCTGCTTCCCGTAGCCTCGCTGGTTGGGATTTAGCTCTCTTAGACTGGATTTCAGGAGACAGTCAGTTGTTCATTGTTCGACTGAACGGGATAGTAAAGACTCGGAAAGATAAGAATACCTGCCATTGCCTCTACCCATGCTCCCACTGATTGCAGCTCACATGAGGTAGATGAGTTTTACAGAAAGCTTTCGGACCTCCTCCAGAACCCTAGGTGCTCTGATATAGTAATGACGGCTGGTAACTGTTTTGCTGAAGTAGGTGGACTAAGCGAAAAGGGGAAACACCTGATTGAATCTTATGGTGTGGTGGCTCAAAGGACCGATAATTTCGGCCGTCTGCTGCAGCTATCCTCAGAAGGCCGCCTATTTCCAGTTGATATAAAGTTTACGCATAAGGAATAACATAATTTGACATTGCGACCCCCAAGGTCAACTGAACGTTGGACACAAATAGACCACATCTCTATCAGCCATCGGTGGAAGACTTCCGCCTATTCTAGAGCACTTGTTTAGATCCAGATGATGCTGTAGTGCAAGCGCGTATCTGTCTGTGTCATCTTAGGGTTCTGCTTGATGATATAGCAAAACTAAGAATATATTTCAGGAACAACTAGAAAAACGGTTCGGCAGCAAACTAAGTGATGCGCACCCCGAGGCAGCTTGGAATAATACAAAACGCTGTGGAAACAGCAGTGACATCTGCTAGTAAGGTAAACGAAAAGCTTAGGAATAAACATTGGATTTCAGTAACATCTAACGAACTGATAGATGCACGGAAACTCACCCTATTCGGCTCAGAACGTGATAACGAGCGACGTTAGCCGTCTGATAAAAAGCGAATTGGTGGTCGTAATCCCATCCGATTGGTCTCAATCACTGATTTTACTAGTTTACAAGTAAGGACAATAGTCTTCTTGTGACAATCACAGAGGAATCAGTCTGACTAATATAGTGACTATAATATTCGCTTCAATGATACTTGAGACCTAATGGAAGCTAGTGAGGTGCAGAGTTGAGAAAACCATGCTGGTTTTAGACTTGGAAGTGGCTGTATTGACCAGGTATTCACACCTCCATAGGTCCTAGAACACAAACATTTCGGCGTCCGACAATAGTTATGTACCTGGGCCTCAAGGCGGCATTTTAGCCTGTTGATCGTGCGATCCTGTGGCAGTGTCTGTCATTAAAAGGTGTACGAAATAAGTACATTAACCTTACTCAGGTTCTCTACTCGATCACTGCTGGTCGAGTTACAGCTTTATGGTTAGCTGTAATCGGAATAGGGTACATCAAGGTGTCCGTCAGAGTTGTCCACTTTCTCCATTCTTGTTTAACTTCGTCGTCACTCAGGTGCCTTTAGAGACGACACTTTTATCGTGACATTTGAGCAGCTGAACTTTTACCTGGAGATTCACTTATTGACCTAGAATTTGACGATACAGTTCTAGTTGGTAAAGACGCTGACAATATAGTATTCAGACCATCTTAAGTAACAATGCAAGTATGTTCGGGATGCGACTCAACCCTTCGAGATGCGAAATGCTGCTTCAGGATCGGGTTGCATCGGCACCTAAAGAAATGATGAGAGTGCAGCAGTTGAGCGTGCTGGTAGTATCATCAGTGCTTATGGCTTGGTGTCTGACGAAATCTCAACACGGACACAGAAGTCTCCACCGGCGTTTGCCAACCTGAGGCATCACTTACGGCGTAGGCGAGATATCCGTTTGCTAATCAAAGGACAAGTTTGCTGTGCAGCAGTTCACTCCGTCCTACTATATGGATGCAAAACATGGCCGGCAAGGGTTGAGGATATTCATAGGTTATTAGTATTCGATCTTAGGTGTCAGTCAGCTGCAACGTAGAACTTCATACGTAAGTACATCAGTTCATGTTGCCATACCACATTAGCACAAATCTTAGGTGTCTTAGAGGCGTCGCTCTTAAATCCTGGGACAACCGAGTAAGTAATGCTGTTGTTAGGGAACAAGTACTAGGCAAGGATGGCAAATCAGTAAATGAAGTCGTAAATCCTGATAAACAAAGGTGGTTAGGGACATGAGTTACGTAGTTTCAACAACCGACTTTCATGACAAGCGATGTTCTGTGCTGTAGGAGTAGGTTAGGAGAGAGCTAGGGGCGGCCAAACCAAAACATGGAACAAATCCATTTAGTCACTGACAAGTGAACTGAGCCATGTTGGTAGATGTAAACTACCAGGTTGGTGTCTGCGAGACAGCATTAACCAGTGGTTAGAGACTTTGTATGACAGGATTCAAAATCGTTTGCAATGGTGGAGTCGCATCCATTCCTTTTCTTCCCTCAAATTGTAATCTGAATTCCTCATGATCTTCATCTTCTCCAATTTATTTCACTAAATTACACTTTTTGAATAGTATCTTCGATCTATAGTTTTCTTCATTGCCGTTAATACTTCTACTATCTCTACTCAACACCTCGACCTCTTTCTAAATTTATTTCACTGAATTATGCTTTTTGAATACGATCTTAAATCCCTGATCTACACTACCGGCAATACTTTTACTATCTCGAAAATACAATTGCATGTCTGTGCTAATGTGGTATGGCAACTGATGTAAGTACGTACGAAGTTCTACGTTGCAGCTAACTATTTTTATTGGAAATTTAGCATACGATTACGTTGCTGAGTCACTGTCAAACAGTAAACTATGTCGTTCCTCTGTTGTACTATTGGTAACACTCTCTATTTAAAACTCGGGAACAAAGAAGAAAAGTTTACTATCTTTTGCGAAATATGTTTTTAATCATTCTTCTTAACACAGTACACTTGCATAATCTTTTTTAGAGCTGAAATCCATACGTATGTTGACCTTAATTGTTCAACGAGCCAGCTCAATATGAACAAGAAATCAACTGATCCAGAATCTATTCAAGATATGCACCAAGTTAACGTAAAACTGCAAAACGAAAACCTTTCTAACAGCGTTTGTGTGGGCGATACTGATGAAAGTACTTATTTATCTTCTTTAGTAAACAAATATTTGAGTCATAAAGATGTTGGTAGTGAAACAATGGATACAGATAGTTCTATCGCAGTCAACTACAGCTTGGCAACACTGGATTATATGAAGCGAAACGGTTTAATTGAATGTTATGAAGATAAATGTAAACGCAATACCTCGCCAGTAGTAAGTAGTATTCTGATTGCTAACCACCAGAAAGCATTACATAACTTTACTGGTTTTAACGACCAAAAGGATGATTCGGTGAATATCCGACCTAATCGTCCGTCTTCTGCTCCGTTTTTGTCTGTAGACTCAAAATCACCTGATGTACACCGAAGCCTTACAATTGGAGAGTCGATACCAAATATAATGAATGAGTTGCATCTTGATACATCACATATGAAACAGTCTACGGGAATATGCAACCCTAGCTTCAAGTATTTTTGTACCTCATTTGATTGTTCTTCAGAAAAAGATACTTCAGTACGACCAACTTCTGAATACTCACACACTTTTGATAATGGGTTAGGAGTTACAAACAGTCCAATTCTCGATTTAGAACGATTACGATCGCTCCCTAAACTACTGTGATCCTCGCTGCATACTCTGAAAAAACTTAAAAATCAAGCTCTTTGTTACAAAAGTGATGTATTTTATTTACCACTTTTATACAAAATAATTTACAATTAATACCATATACGATGGTGCTTCTCACAAAAAAATAATATGGATTCAATACATATCTTCATCGTCATTATTCCCAGTATGCGCGTCCCCATGCTGATTCTTTATCTGTTCTTGACTTTGATAAAGTTGATAAATCTAGGGGAAATCAAGTGGAATGTGAACGACAAGGGATACTAGATGGCAAAATCTGGGGGTTGATTCAGTAATATGTAAGATTGTCAGACACTGTATGGTGACTCCATAGAAAAGCGATTTTTTATTGTTCAATTAACACAGTAAATATATGTTTAGATAACACATTTAGAGCTGAATAACGACTTTATAATCTCTTTTAAGGAAATGAGGAAAGTCATTGCAAAAATATCATAAACGAGAAATTCGGAAATAGTATTTTAGTTTGCACTTTCGTAGTATAGATCCGACTTGCCATTACTTCGGGCTTATATTGTTTACATTGTTCCACGGTCTTAATTCGCAACATACTCAGGTAGCACATTCTAAGTGTATGGGAGGAATCACAACCGGGCGGTGTGGAAAAACTTAAGAGGCCAGAAAACCAATGAATCACACATTTTTGTGACAGTGATATGGTTTAAGAAGTACAAACAATGCAAATATTCATGGAAAGGACTGGAGCTGCTTGCAATGATCAGCTGCTTCAGTGGTCTGAATAAATACTCGAATCCATGACACTACTAACACTAATCTGATTTCTTTTTTTGGATTTAAAAATAAAAGTACAATAAGTAAACATCAGAAGTCTGTTTTTGTGATCACCAAAAACCATGTTCTTTATCCTGTATCCTTAACGACTTTTTAATGCTATAATCGGTTTTGTCATATACATTTTACATCTGAACTGTCTTGAAAGCCGAAAATCAAATGTTTTGCGCCATTTAGGTGTAAACAGACTAAACGTAGTTATTATTCGGTGGATTAACGTGGTGAATTGACTCAGAAATTTTGCAGCAAATAAATGCGTATTTTCAAGTAAGAAAATTGGTGCATATTTTGATTGCATAGTCGACTCATCAGAAAGGCAGAAAGAAATAGGAAAAAAGTAGTTAATTGTTTGTCGTTTGTTTGCAAAACCTTCCTAATGACCCCAACCTACAGGACACAAAAAGCATCGTCACTTTGGAAACACATAAACAAGACTAGTCAACCAACTAAACTCACCTGTTGAGCAGTTGTTGCATCTTCGGGTTTTTTGTCATCCCGAATCCGAATGAACCTTGGAAACCTTAGTGAAATTCCTTTTTGTGGATCGGCCTGAAAGACAGAGAAAATTAATGTACAAATATTTATGTTTACCATTTCAAACAGATGGTATATGTAATTCCAAGAAGACTCACAAAGCTACGTCAGATTTAATAAAACAAAGCCAATATTGTTGTATTCTGTTCGGAGGCTGCATGCGCATAGTCAGTCAATTACAACGTAAAACGTCGCACGTATGTACATTCAAGTTTACATACCGCATTAGCACAGAGAAGCGATCTTCAATTCAAATCCCATGGTAGTAGAGGTAGTAGAAGAATTAGCAGTAATCGCAGAGGTTATGGTTCGAGAATATTATTCAAGGAGTACAATCTAATGAAATAAACTTTAAAAAGTGATAAATTCAGAAATTTAGAATTTGAAGAACATAACAGATGGGTGCACCTGCGCCACTGCAAACAGGTTTTCAGCCAAGTCGTTCACAGATTCTACCTAAGATCTCAGTCAATGTAACTGCTCAAGTTGAACCACCAGACATAAAAATCTCAGGATTTAATTTATCAAGGCCCGCTGCTTTCCCTACTTTTTCGATTGCTGTGGCTTCCTAAACTTCATTTGGAGTGCAAGGACTTAAATCGGTTTCCCATTCCGGATGACTGGAGATCGTGGGCGACGGAAATGTTGTAGAAGACCAGTTAAACTGATTCCTGAAGTGCGCTACCCATCGATCCAGTCTCCTTGATTGAGAACAAACGATACGATCATCCTTTTCTAAAACAGTTTCGCTAACAGGTAGATTCCAGTTTCCTTGGTAAGGCGGAACAGTTGTCTACCATTAACTTCTGCCGTTGCCTTTGCCAATCCTCTTGCTTTCGCTAACCACCACTGTTCAGGATCATTGCTTAGACTGCGCTTAAGCTGACTTCGCTCTTCGTCATTTTCAGAGCCGGGTGGGATGAGTTTACTAGTCTATCAGTTGGCTTGATGCTATTGAAATCCACAGCTTCTTCCCAACCTAGGTGTCGTTCCTTTTCACTTAATCTACCTACTGAAGCATCAAAGTCAACAGCCATTATTACTATATCAGAGAGCTTACGTTTTTGAAGAAGGTCAGCAAGGTTTCCATAAAGCTCATCTCTCACCTCATCTGAACTGCAGTCAGTGGGAGCGTAGGCAGATACGACGAAAATGCAACGGTGAGTGTCCCTATCCTCCCGAGTCCCTACTGTCCTGTTTAGTCGGACACCGCACGAGCGACTGTCTACCGGGATCCAGTCTAAGAGAGCTAGTTCTGCCATGGGACTCAATGCTATACCTGTACCAGCAAGGCTACGGGAGGCAGTAGCAGCGCTTCCAGAAATACGGAGCGTAAACCGAGTTAGTTCTCTATCTGGACAATGTGAAATCAAACTAACGATTTTGCTCGGATCTTGTATGTGCTATTGAAGTCACAGCATACATAGATGGCACGGGATTCCAGAGTCCTAGCTAGGGGACCCTATTTGATACAGGGTCCAAACATTAAAAGCTTCAACGTGTAGTTTAAAGCGGAGTTTTAGAAGACCAGTAATAATGTTTCGTGAACTCGGATCGTTTGCATTAGCGGTGCAGGGAGATAAGGGGTTGTGAAAAGGTTGAGTCTTTGAGTTAAAATAGATGTCATGGGGTGTAGGAATGGTTTGATTGCGACCAACTCGGTCTCGTGTGTTGTTACAGGTATGAGGGCGGATGTCACTTCCCGGCTGCCCGCTCCGTGGAAGGGTGTTTATTGAAGAACCTGAAAAGGAACGTAGATTGGTGTTGGTCTTAGACACCTGAGAGCGTGACCGCAGAGCCCGAGTGAGAACTGCTTGAGGCCGGTCACGCACGGCCATTTTGTGGGAAATTTTTAAAATGTTGGCTCTGCTTTTGTTAAGAAGGCTTTACAGCCGGAGACGGAAATCCGCGATGTAAGGTGAGGTGTGACATTTTCAGGGTCGACCTTTCATAATCCCTTCCTTCCTTGTGAGAAGGCAGCATCACTGTAGATGCTGGTTGTCCAAGGGAAACACCTTATTGCTGTCACACTTCTCCACAGCCAACTGTACGATCTCTCCTTCAGACACTGAGTAGCTGGTTTTAGTTTCATCATTCTGCAATCGACCTGGTTGGCATGGTAGGACCTAAAGGAACATATGTTCCAGTCAATATTGCTTGGTTCAGTGATCACGATAGGCAAAGCCGACCACCAAATTAAAGTAACATTTACAGCAGGGAAACAGTTAAACCCTTAGTAAGACGAATGATTGTTTATCAATATAAGGTTGTGGAAATTTTCAAGTTTCACTGAAATCATCAACTTATAGTCTTACATTCGATTAGCTAATGTGGGCTCATGAGTTTTCTCCGCTGAGTCCAATACTAGGACGAAATGGCCATTCAGTGCTTTTAGGTTTCCAATGATAGTCCAACGTTGATCGGCCTATGATTTCGAAAATGGATACCACTTACAGTTCAAAGTGTTGGTAAAGAGAAACGTTGACCTTAGTGGAAATTTGATTTTTTGATTTAATCTTATGAAAATACATGAATATGTTCCCTTCCAGTTCTTACGGTATCAAGTTATTACTATAAGTTACACGACGAATAAGATCGATCTAACAACAACAAGTTACTACGTAGATATCATTTAACGGCCAGTGAACTATAGTGAAACTTGTTAGCTCTTCATTCCACTTTACTTAACTTGATGATCTTGAATATGAAGTTGTGAGATATAGTGACTTTACATTCAAAATAAACGTAGTCTCACGAGTACATCCTTCTTTATTCAGTACATCCGAATTATGGAAAGAACTTACTAAACCAGCTGCGGCTTTGTGTGCAGGTGATATACTCAAATCAGCCGCCTTCACTTCCCAAACTTGGACAGGTTCAAACCATTGATCTGGAATTAAACTGCTTGTGTATTGATAATAAGGTTTTGCTTTGTCAGCTGCATGATTCTTGAAAAACTCAGAAAACGAAGCCAATTCATCATCTTTCATTCCTGTCCCAATCTGTGAAAGAAACAATCCAAAGTTAGCTATATATTAACGTTGGAGTTCATATTCTGATGATGGTGCAACTCAGTTAGTTGAAACTCTAGCAATACATGACTCAGAATAGAATAATATAATAGATCACTTACTTTGCATATTGTCTGATATTCTTCTGTATCTGGATCATAGCATGCCAATAAGTAGCCGCCGTACCGACCAGCACGTTTACCAGTGCCATGAAAACCACCTATCACCACTAAATCCAAAGTATCACCAACACCTTCTAGATAGTCTTTTTTCAATTTCAACCAGCTATGGGATCGTTTCGCGATTTCGTAGGTAGAATTATGATCAAGTGTTTTTATCATTAAACCTTCACAATTGCCTACACGAATATAAATATGACAATTTATCTGGCGCGAATTTCAAACAGACGCTTGAAATATAACAATTTTTTATATCATGAAATGTATATTTAATGAAATATCTGTGAATGTGCTGTTTGAAGCTGCTGCCACTTATATACAATGGTCTTTTAACCCACTGTATACAGTAAACTAACTCATCATAATTTAGGGTACGAGCGATGAATGTTGAATAAAGGCTGAAATAGTCTAACTCCATAAACTTGGACACAAAAAGGAATAATGAACCTTTTAACGAGCCATAGCCATACAAGTTAACACAATACAACCGAATAACGTTTCGAGTTGTTTATCACGAAATAACTGCTGCTGATAACAATCTAAAGATGCTTCGGATATTGAGAGACATCTGAATATATTGACTAGTTAGTGTCTCGTAGTTCCATGTGGGAACTAGAGAAGCCTTCAAGTTTTCGGCCAATCAATCCCAGGTAAATCTGAATAGCTTGAAAATAATTTGTTAATTGTATATTTTTATAGAATCATCTATACAAATTTTTGTGACTTCGTCTTGAAACCGAAATTTATTTTGATAAAGAAAATGATTTACCTTTGATGGCTTCGTCAAGAAAGGTTGCGATCTCATCAGTATCAGATGAATCAAGAGACGTTGCCATCATAAACTCTCCAGAAATGCGCGGGAATACTTCTCTGAATTAAAAAATGTAATTAAGAAAAACTGATAGCTTAGCAATCACTTTACATCCTAATGCAATTTTACTAAAATTACCAATCATTGTAGTCTTTAGACAATAATAAGGGATGTAAAACACTTGTAGTTATCCAAAAATTTTCATAGTAGAAAAGAACATTTATATACAATTAGCTTGTTATTTTTTGAGCAAGTATTATTATTAAGCATGTTATATAGGGCGGAACTTGGTGTATGAGCAATAATAGAAACTATCGGGTCGTTTTTCCAGTGGTACTTCACTGAGATAACCCTCCAGTATGGAGTATTTCATATTATGGGTAATGCAGTCGTTCAAATACTAATCGTGACTATAACTCAATCTAGATACACAGATTTATATAATGTCCCAACTACATCAAATGCAATCTTTAAATATTTAATTGTTTTGGCTTTTTAGAGACAATCTCTTAATTGCGGGCTAGAACCATTGCATTATATGTCAATCTAATTTTTAAGATGATTAGATCTAGATCAAAATGTTCGACTATGGTAAACGATATGATGATGAAATGAAGTTGACAACTGCAAGACTCGATATCTGTAAATTGCGGACGATAAAACAGGTGCAGACTTACCGAAGAATTTCTCGACGTATGCGTAAAGGTTGTTCAATTAGAGATACACCATTGATATAAAGTATATCAAATACATAAATGCATATTTGCACTTTCAATGAAGATTCGTCTACATCCTACAAAAACAAAGAAAATACAAAAAATAATAAAATATGCTTAAGATCCTTAAGCGATTATTAGTCTTCAGACAAATTGGAAAATTATTTGTTAGTAGTGAGATACAACACCATCAATGTGAATATACAGGCAACATCAGACCATTCCATCGTGAAGCCCCTAAACTGATACAGACTGGTCTGTTCTAGTTCTAAGCATCGACATTTGAAAATTGTACGCACAGTTGATATGGGGGCTCTTCATAGTTTTCCAGCAATCTTATCCTCCGACTATAATTTGGTTGTCAATAACTTCGAAAGCTTAATGCCCTCGTAGTGCCCCAAACACTCAACTTACAAGAATCAAACCCAAAGAATATACTCCTAATTGTATATGTGCATGGTGCACAGTGTAATTCGCTTATTCCGTTGCGATAAGATAAAAAGCAAGGCAAACAACCAGCCAAAATTAGATTCACTACAAACCAGTAAAACCCAATGTACATTTTCTGAAGCAGTATGTCCAAAACATATGAAGGGAAAACGTTACAGATTTAGCGAAAAGCGGCACTTTCAAGATTAGTTCCTTTTTTAAAAAATGCAAACAATTTAAAGTAATTGGTCATACAGATACATTATGCAGATCTTCGAAAAGCTTATTTGGTGAAACGCGCTAGTTTAATACAAGATCGGCAAACAAATAAATTGTACACTGCAAACATGTGAATCCTAACATCAACGATCATGTCATAACAATTCAACTGAATAGCGTCTCTCGCAAATCTCGGTTGGTGTAATATCCACAATACTCGTGATTATGTAAAGTCTCTGGTTTGTTTGATTACCAAGCCGATCAGTTTTATTGAACAAAATATTTGAGTCTAAACAATATTTTATGGATTAAAGACTTTATGATTATTGAAGGTGGTTTGCTAGTTATGTTGATAAGAAGATATATTTACATCAAAGATTGAGAATACACAATAATCTTTCCACTAATGTGGTGAAATTAGTAGTGGCGAAAAACATCGTTATTGAGTCTTACTTACTTTACGCTTTCGCGTTGATAGAACTTGGAATGGTAATATATGTCCAGCTAAACGATCCCAAGCAACAACTTCCGAGTCGATAATACAACTCTCTAGTTTATTTCCAACTATACCATTTGATTGAACTTGTCTCTTATTATTTTTAACAATTTCACCAAGCAATTTAATTGCATGAGGTGTTAGTGTAGACTCTGGAAGCACCCTAGACATCAGATTATTCACGATATCAGGATATTTTGTAGTATTATCTTCTTGATTACGTGAATACACGTGACTTGCACCTGAAGGGAGAATATGAATCTGAAATAAATTTCAAAAAGCCATAAATTTAGTTTGAAATTAAACACAAACTGTTGAGACTAGAGAAGTAACTGAAAACGAGAAGATCCAAGAGTTATTCTCCGAGAATTCAATCCTTGTATACATACATATTGTATTTTAAACTGCTTTGATTATAAGATTTTTTCAGTTATTAGATGCTGTTATAACTTTGACCGTCCGTAAATTAAAACGAATAAAGCACAACATTTTACTCAGTTTTATGTCATAAGTGTCTTAGTCATATCCGTATGATGTGATTTTCTTTTCACGATGTAGTATGGTCTTATATTGTTTATACATAATTACGCAAGTCCTGAACGTCCTTTACCTTTATTTCTTCAAAATGTAAGCTTTGGTACCAGATTTCTGGTGAATTAAAATTTTTTTTAACAATATGTTGAGAAAGTGATCAAATAAAATGAACTGTTTTATTTACCACTTTATGATAAGAAGGACAGAATAACAGATATAGATTGTCAGTAATTGTTTTATTCCAAAACTATGACACGAATTGACTGCTTAAATTCATCATTCGAACATCGTTTAAATATAACTTTACTATCATATATTATGTAAACAGTTTGTTGATATTTTCTGAAAACGAATGTCGATGGACTATTACTAGGTAAAACAATGAGTATTTTGATTATGGGACTGTGTACACAGTACACAGTAGAAATTCATTACAAAATTAAACAATCACCTGCGGAACTGTAAGCAATGTGGAATGGAATTGTATTCTTATCTCGTAACTTAAAACAACTGAAACCATGTGACAATAATTATCCAATACTGTAAATTACCTAGGCATAAATAGGCACGTAAACTTTCGTAAAGGGAAAACTTATTTTCATTTCAGTGTCAACATACTTGTGCTCTTTCACCATCATATTTATATTCACACGTGAAATCACATTCTTCAAACCTTTTTAAAATTTCATAGATTCCATGAGTAGGAGAAGCTAACATTGGTTTTAGAGGAATACCTGGAGTGATTGTGCAAATTTGGTCGAGGGACTCATGACTTTCTGTTAAAAGGGCTTTTATAAGACGGCCGTAATCTGGACAAACGCTAGATAAGATGACAAATAGACATAATAAAGGAAATCATATAGTTCACAATGTTTTTGAATTTAACTCAAATAATCAGAAGCAATAATATACAACTATAGTATATCAGATGTAAATTTCCAGTAAAAAAAGGAACAATTCTTAGACCTTATGCAATAGACTGAACGGTGAAATCTCATCAAAAAGAGGAATGTGCTACCGAAAAGTCTTAATGAATGGGAATTCACTTTCTCGAAGATGAATGGAAAGTAATTCAAAATACAAACACTTTGTGAATCATAAAATGTAGGAAAGTGGTGAGATTCAGTTTTAATATATTAACAATATTGCCCATTGACACACAGATTCATTCAACCTAAATGGAATGAAGTTTGTGGTTGATAATATCACTGGCTAATATCAAGCGATCTCAGATTTTACTTGAATCATAATGTTGATATTCTGTATTCAGCTGTTGACAGCTGAGTTCTTCCCTATCATATTTTGTTTGTTTGTAAACAGTTTATCATGTGGTGGGGTTTGTTTTCTGTATTTTAGACCTAGATCGACAGAAAATTCCAAACCATCTATTCACAACTGTATAGGGCACTTGGTAAATGCAATAAATCGGTTGGTGAGGTATTAAATCTTCATCAACTGCTAGGATACGTGTTACTGATGCCCAATCACTGCCTAGGTCGATGAGGGATGCTTACTAGAGTAGAAATAGATAGGAAGGAAGCTATCGGCGATCGAACCAAGATGTTGCACCAGTCTATGAAGTCACTAACTATTGGACCGAGTCATATTGGCAAAGATAGACAATCTGGTTGAAGTACACAAGATAAACGCGATCAGTAGTTGGAGACTGGGAGATGGAGCTCAGAAATGTTCATAATAACCCAGAGGACGCATCTTTAATCTTCTTCTCGTTCTTGAATCACTATATACCTTCATATATACTTTCTGAATCGTATCCCCAAAGTTGAGTCTATCTTTTTATGATTCTTTACCACATTATTTTGATCTCCATCGTTATTTACATCTTGTCGTGCTGGTCACATAATGGAACTTGGGCCAATGCGTATCTTTCCCAGGTTCCATAATGATAATGTCTATCACAACCGTAGAACCAAACATCTTTTTTAACATTAAGTGCGCTAACATGGCATAGGGGAAGTTAACATTTGAGAGTACAAGTGGATCAAGGATTCCAAACTTACAACATTGAGCCACAGATAACCAACTTTCAAGAGACAATCAACCAGTATTTAGTTGTAAAATTAGGATACCGAATAAACAGTCAAGATACTGAATAAATAACTTACCAATACGCCTTTTTAACATTTGCAACTGCAGCATCCATAATAGTTTTCCACTGGTCAGTAGACATACCATTAGAAGCATTAACTATCCGAGTGTTTTTATCGCCGACTTTAAAATGGAATGGTGTCATAGCCACAGCCTGACCAAGAGCTGTAAGCACAGTTTGTTCAGCTAAGCCAATTCGCAATTTTCCTGACAAGCTCCGTATAATGTATTTAGTTTCAGATTCTCGACACGCCACTAGAAGTGAGCGAATAATCTCCACCTTTTTGTTTTGAGCCTAATAAGTGAAGGGGAAAGTTGATCAAGTCGATTCGGCTACAAGAAAAGTTTATTTATCCATCACGCTTTAATAAAACAAAACAATTGAATCAGAACAGCGTGGAAAGTTTTACATGCATAAAGATTCAAGTAATTTACTAAATAACAAAGACCATGTAAAAAGTTGAATCATGTGGTTAAGTTTGTAAAACTGATCATTAATGAACTGATATTTTGAGCATCTGTCTGGTTGACATTACGGTAAAAAAAACTTCCACGCAAATAAGTGATGATAATCGTCAGAAATATTCAAACCAATACAAAAATACAAATAGGTTTAAATTGTCTTACTGACAAAACTGGCAGTTGTGAGATTAAAGCTGTCTGTTGAAATACTCTGAAGAAAAACAAGTACAACGCGGTCTAATTTACTTCTAAAATATAAACTCAATATAATTAGTACGGGATCTAGAAGAATCGTCACTTAGGATAAACATGTAAACTTGCAGAACGTAAAGTGAATAGAATTACAAATAAAGCTTATCCGGATGCCTCAATGTTCCATGGACTGGTAATGTCACTAACCTAAGTCATGGTCATTAGCATTATGAGGTACTTAGATATGTTCAATCACTTGTTTATGGACACAAATAATATTAGTAAGAGATTGTATGATTTACTTGTTATTATACTGATACAAACAAAAAGATGACTCTATTCTGCAATCATAGCTATCTAGAAGCAAAAAGTAAAAAACTATTTATTAAAAAATGTCATAACACGTTAATCATATGTAACTGTCCATTCAACACATAAAAAACCCTCAAATCTTTTACCAACTGGCATCTGCCTCTAAGATTTAAGCTTGAAATAGAACTGCAATCAGAAATCCAAATTACTCATTAGATGAAGAAGGCATGGATAAATATGGAGTTCCAATACAGAAGGCTAACATACAGTAAAACAATGACAAACTTCCACGCCATTGTAAAACTAATTTACCAACCTATTTGAAATTCAAAATAATCTTTTAAAAAAAATAAAATTCTACCTATCAAGTTTATTTGAGAGAAAGAAGCAGTTTACAAGTCGTAAGCGTGAAATATCTTATTGGTCATAGTTTAGAAACTGACAGGAGAAATTGATGCATACGACTTAATCGATAAATATCAATGAATGCATTCCCATGACTCGACCGTAGGTGCCACCTTGACGTGGTGGTCGGCTTTGCCTATCGTGATCACTGAACCAAGCAATATTGACTGGAACATATGTTCCTTTAGGTCCTACCATGCCAACCAGGTCGATTGCAGAATGATGAAACTAAAACCAGCTACTCAGTGTCTGAAGGAGAGATCGTACAGTTGGCTGTGGAGAAGTGTGACAGCAATAAGGTGTTTCCCTTGGACAACCAGCATCTACAGTGATGCTGCCTTCTCACAAGGAAGGAAGGGATTATGAAAGGTCGACCCTGAAAATGTCACACCTCACCTTACATCGCGGATTTCCGTCTCCGGCTGTAGAGCCTTCTTAACAAAAGCAGAGCCAACATTTTAAAAATTTCCCACAAAATGGCCGTGCGTGACCGGCCTCAAGCAGTTCTCACTCGGGCTCTGCGGTCACGCTCTCAGGTGTCTAAGACCAACACCAATCTACGTTCCTTTTCAGGTTCTTCAATAAACACCCTTCCACGGAGCGGGCAGCCAGGAAGTGACATCCGCCCTCATACCTGTAACAACACACGAGACCGAGTTGGTCGCAATCAAACCATTCCTACACCCCATGACATCTATTTTAACTCAAAGACTCAACCTTTTCACAACCCCTTATCTCCCTGCACCGCTAATGCAAACGATCCGAGTTCACGAAACATTATTACTGGTCTTCTGAAACTCCGCTTTAAACTATACGTTGAAGCTTTTAATGTTTGGACCCTGTATCAAATAGGGTCCCCTAGCTAGGACTCTGGAATCCCGTGCCATCTATGTATGCTGTGACTTCAATAGCACATACAAGATCCGAGCAAAATCGTTAGTTTGATTTCACATTGTCCAGATAGAGAACTAACTCGGTTTACGCTCCGTATTTCTGGAAGCGCTGCTACTGCCTCCCGTAGCCTTGCTGGTACAGGTATAGCATTGAGTCCCATGGCAGAACTAGCTCTCTTAGACTGGATCCCGGTAGACAGTCGCTCGTGCGGTGTCCGACTAAACAGGACAGTAGGGACTCGGGAGGATAGGGACACTCGCCGTTGCATTTTCGTCGTATCTGCCTACGCTCCCACTGACTGCAGTTCAGATGAGGTGAGAGATGAGCTTTATGGAAACCTTGCTGACCTTCTTCAAAAACGTAAGCTCTCTGATATAGTAATAATGGCTGTTGACTTCATAGAAGATCTCTACTCGAATACTACTGGTCGAGTTAGAGCTTATGGCGAACTGTCATAGGAATTTTTTACTTCAAGTGGTGTCCATCAGAGCTGTCACTCTCTCTATTTTTGTGTAACTTGGTCATAAAGATGCTTTAAGAGTTATCATTATCTTCTTCGCACTTTTCAGGTGTGGACCTTCTACCAGGAGACACGCTTGCTGACTTGGTATATGCCGATGACATAGTTCTATTCACAGGTTATTAGTATGGGATTATGAATGTGTTCGAAGCGATGCTAGTATATCGTGGGGCTGTCGAGTAAGCAATACTGTTGCTAAGAAACAAGTACTAGGTGAGGATTGCAGATCAATAGATAAAGTATTGAAACTTCATCAGTTGAGGTGGTTGGGACATGTGTTACATATGCCCAACCACTGAATGCCTCGATGAGCAATGTTTTGTGGTACAGGAGTAAGTTGGAAGAAGGCCAGGGGTGGCCAAGCCGAAACATCGCAGAAATCCATGAAGTCACTGACGACTGGACTGAGCTATGTTGGTAAGTGTAGACTACCTGTTTGGAGACCGCGAAATGGAAGTAACCGATGGTTAGAGAACCTTGAACGATGTGGTTCAAAATCGTTTGCAATGACGCAGGTGCATCCACTCTTTGTGTTCTCTCAAATTCTAAACTTCAGAATTCCTCATCACCTATATTTTTTCTATTTCTAAATTTATTTTACTGAATTATACTTCTTGACTAAAATCTTCGAACCCAGATACTCTGCATAACCGCTGATACTTCTACTATCTCTAACACTATGGTGTTTGACCTGACAGTCGCATCTCTATGCTCATGCGGCATGGAAACCTGAACTTATGTAGTTACGTACGAAATTCTACGTTCTACATTCTCAAAGACGGCTGAATGATACAAACAGCACAATTATAAATGAACTTGTGTTTTGCTAGTTATGCTCAATGGAAAATGAACTTTCGTTTGGATTAAAATACCAAGGTAAAATTTCCTTCATGGAGTAAATGGATAATCAACATACCAATCAGTTTCGAAAATGAACACAATGACTTACTGAATTTCCAGACATCGAAGCAATATCTTTCAATTTAGAAAATACTAATGAGATGGTCAGTGGTTTTGGAGCTGACAGGATTTTCTGACGTGATCTGATAGTCTGAAAAAATTGCATTTAAGGTGAAGCTTTGAAAGACTATGTAGTATAAAAAAAATTAAAATAAATACAGGGATGCTGCACATACTGAACAAATAAACCTAATCAAACATGTTTCCATTCAAATACTATGGTGTTGTTCATAAAAATTTTGTTAGGCGCTAGAAACACTAGCCAGTTATCAAATTTTAGTACATGCTAATGTGTCTATAAGATTCAGCTACAATTCTGCTGAAATATTTCAGTTAAAGATATTTATATGGAAAATAGGAAACTCACTTCAGCAACAACACCGAGATCACCATATCGTTTCAAACTGGAACGCATGTGTTCAATCCCAACACCTGTAAGGATCAATTACATATTAACACACTACCAATCGGTGATAAAATTAGTAGAATATTGAAGGTTAAAACAAATTATTCGGGATAAAAATCTGGAGGCTAAAAGTCTCACCAACAGTACGGCCGAAACCAGTAAATCTCTAAACTAGTAAGGTCAGGTATGTCCTGCAGCTGAAAAATCTTCGTGAAGCTGACCTTCCCTTATTATATAGCAAATAAGAAGTGAAATTATATTCTACCGTACATTACTGAAGAGTGTATATAATTTATGTATATAATAGTAGGAATAACCAATATTTACACCATAAACGTTTGAATAATAAGTAGGTGGAGCGGAGTCCAAACGTCAAATGTCTTAACCAACAAGTCACTTTAAGAAGAACTGAAGATGTCGAACTTTTAGCGGAGTATGTAGAAAGCTAGTTGCTGAAATACAACTTGGTAATCTGAGACCCGGTTTGAAAGTAAGTCAATCAGGTTTAGATGCTTGTGGATTATCCTCAGTTATCATATACTAACTAGGTGGTCTTAATGCTAAATAGACGGTAATTTAGCTTAAATACTGAATACAAGCTTATTCACTCAGTGTTGAGTCACCTTTTTTGTGAAAAAATATCAGCACTGGCCAGGGATCAAAATTGAAATATCTGGAGTGGAGCTTCATCTTATGACCTAATCACTGAGCTATCGCTTCACAAACTTCGACGTGAATAAAAAGCCATGTAAGTACTTTTCACTTCTTCCAGATGGCAAGGAATGTAGTCATCTGTAGAAAAACACCTTAGTTTATTGTAATTCCTGTTAACGAAAACCTTTTAGAAGTTTTAACTATTTGAAATACTAACAAAAGCGAGTAGAATTACGACCGATGTTTTAATTTGTCAGATTTCATTTAGACTTTCAACCCGGTTTCGGAGCACACTGTCAACCACCAGATATTTTTGCTCTTAGTTGTACGTTAAGACTAAATATAAGAATTGACAGAAAAATTAGGAGGATTAATCTCTCAAAAAAAGTGAGACTACCTGTAGTTGAAGCCAAAGCTTTTAATAAAACTGTTTCCCCCACTCCTAGTTCCACTCCTTCATATGCAGGTCCCAGACGATTGAGGCAAAGGTAAACACAATTTGTCAAATCGAATGAAGATAATAGGCCGACCGAACGGAAAAAATTGCACAGCATTTCCGTTATTTTGATTCTAAAACCAATGCATTTTTAATGTGTTTTACCTGCCCGATGTAGCTTCAATACATTCAAATGTTCTCGTCAAAGATAGATAAGGCACACTAGAAATTATTAATTTTAAGTAGTCACCAACCTTTCACCTTCTCTCCAGTTGCAGTCATGAATGGGGTGATAATCTGCTTTGCTAGGATCATAACTAAAAAAATAACCTTATTGAAAGCTCATACCAGGTAACTAAATTTTCAGGACCCAGCGAAAACTTTTCAGTGGTATTTGATTTGCTCATAATATTACTTGGCTCAATTTCTGCACAATGAGAGTAAACCAAATTAGACTTACGTGAGTTGTTGAATCCGCTTTTAGTTTCAGTATTAATCACATTCTCTAAAAGCTTTTTCCCATTTTTTTCCTAAAATTATAAGATTCCTAAATTTTGACAAATTACAAAGATAAACATACGCTAGTTGGTTTCCGAGGTGCCAAAGCAGGCGATTGATGAGGGATTTCTACATCACTTTCGTCAAAATTAATATGATTCTAAAATTTCAATCGATTTTATGCTCTAATCAACGTACACGAACATCTACATTACCTAAAGTTACTTATATATGCGAAACTAGTTACTTTTATCAGGCGTTTCGGTTAGTGAATCGTCACTTTCGACTATGATGCGTTTGCGTTTTATTTTTCCATGTAAAGTATTGTTAGGCGATTGTGAATTAACAGCTCTTTCCCTTACGATAGAACATAATTAATAACTTCAATCCTACTTATTTGTTTCGTCAGTTTCTTTTTTGTCATTTCCAGAAAAGAATGATCTACAATAAAGAACTCCAAAATTAGATCATAATACTACTACTAATAATAATGATAACAATTAATTAAATGCTTTATTTTTACTGATATGGTAAAAGTATACCTAAAATCCGACAGCTATGTCGGTAAATGTAGACTACATGGACTTGAACTGATGTGCCTGAGTACGAATTTCTACGTTGTAACTGACTGACTCAAATCAGACAGTCCCGACTGCAAACAGAGAAACAAACAAGATCTATTCTAACTGGTAAGTGATAAGACTCCTAAGCACTACTCTGCTCCATACAAAGTCGAGATATGTAAAATTGACTACTTAACGTGGAACATAAATATATTAGAAAGTATACAGATTAGAAATGTTCTATAGTAGGAAGAAATGAAATTTAGTACTCTTTGAGTACTATTAAATATTTACATAATTACTGGTACAAAAAGACCACTTAGATATCCAAGCGCCACACAAATTTATTTGTGTGGGCTGGAAGACTATCCGGGTGCCTGCACAGAAGCAAATGATTCACGGAAGCGACCACTTCCCAAGCCTTTGGCCTAAAGATCTAATCCCCGAAATCAGTGAAGAAGCGTTAGATGTAATCCCATAGTAGCCAGTGACCGACAATATGTTCATAGGTTATTTGTTTCCTGAGGATTTCGGAACCTATGTGCACAATTAGTTTGAAATCAGGGTTTTTCAACTCCCCTATCCGTATTTACCGACTCGACTTAAGCGCCGAAAGTTCGCATTTATTCATCAGCTTTGTAAACGACACCCCACCCATGAGAAGGTAGTGAGTAGAGCTTCCTTGGCAGTGGCTATATACGCTTGGCTAGATAACAGCATTTACTCTTAGCCGTACCAGAATTCTTGATGAGCAAGAATTCAAATGCTGATTGGAAACATTCCCATCCACGTACAGGGAAACACCGACAGTAGCTCTGTTAATCATTGAAGCGTATAAACGAGAGCATTTCGTAGTCGATTAATGTAACATAATATTGAATATATACTTCTACAACCAACGTATTTGGTGTTTTGCATGACTAACTATACATGGGAAAACAGTCGAGCACAATTGTCAGAAATATATGTAAACCGCGTCAAATGCGCAAACTAAGAATACAGAGAATTTTCCTGCGTCCATATCAGTTGCTAACATTGTGGAAATTTTTAACCATAAGTTTTATTGGATTCATGAACCATGGTTGGCTGGTATTTACGTATGACTGAAATCAGGTTACTTTGGAGTCTTAGTTGAGCACGATGAAGTTATCAGGTGACCGATATTAATTATGAGTGCATAGTTTGGAACAACTCAACCGAAATGAAGACCTGAAATAAATGACGTGGCCCAATTAAGTGGTTATTATGCTACCCATAAATACGTGTGACGTGGAGTGATATACACGAATGTCCAGAAAACGACTGATTAGTAAGATATATTCACGACACCTACAGACAAACTTTACTGTTGAGGTGATCCCTGTAGCTTAATAGATGAAGTAATTGAAACCAACCGTAGCTACTGTCTTGAGGTGGTAGTTGAGCTTTTTTATTGTAATAACTCGACTAAACTATATTGGCTGAAATACATGTTCCTTTAGACCCTACCATGCTAAGCAGATCAGTTGGGGAACGGCCAGACTAAAAGCAGCAACTTAAGGTTTGAGGAAAAAGTCGTACAGTTGACTCCAACGAGTGATAGCAACAAGGTTTTTCCAACAGACAACTGACATCTGTAGCGATGCTACCTTTTTATTAACGGATCGAGGGAATAATAAAAGGTCGATTCCACCTTGCCTCATGAATAACTGTCTCCAAAAGTAAGGCCTATCGAAGTGCAGAGCTAATATGAAAGTATTCCCATAAAAATGCTGTGCGTGTTCGGTTTCGAATTGTCTTTTTAGCTCAGCGACTCCGTTCCCCAGTCACTAACAGAAGCGCTAACCGAGATTCTTTTTCAGGTCCCTTGAAAAAAATATATACTTCCACTATGTAGGTAGCCGGGAAGCGACAACAGACAGCATACAAAACCATCGCAATCACTATGAAACGTCATTCTCATCTTCTAATCATTCTCCTACCTCCATGAATAACCTTTCTGGAATATCTGTATCACCACACACTAACAATATTAATGATTTGAGTTGACGAAATGTTTTCCTGGTCCCCGGAAACCACGCTGTAAGCTAAAGTTTCAATCATTTAATGCTTAAATCTTGTCAGATACAACGACTTCCGACAGTTTTAGTATCTCGCGCGATTGATATATAGTGTTTCTCAGAAACATGCAGACAAGATCCAAGCAGAGTCAGTCACCTGATCTCATCTTGTTGATATGAAAAACTGGGGCGATTCACTGTTAGAGTATCTGAAGACCCCGCGGCTACCAAGCGCCGCCTCGCTGACGTAGTTATAGCATTAAGTTCAAAAGTAGATCAGGTTCTCAGACTGGATTTCAATTAACAGTCGATTGTCATTTTTATGACCAAATGAGACAGCAAGAAGACGGAAATATAGGGATACACGACGTAGCATCTGAATAAAATTTCACTAAGTGTAGCTCAGATGAAGCAAAAGATGAATTTTATAGGAATTTTTCCAAACGGCGATGAGATCCACCAGTAGCTTAAACAATATAATACGAAAATCCAAAGAATTTCAGCAGCATCTACAGAATTGGTGGGTACTCGTAGACTTATGCCTCTAAAGACGGAACTTTAACATGCTGAAAATAATCTACGCGATAACTGTGTTTAGAGGCAAAAGACATTGGGACGGCAGCATCAATAGGTAACAGTAGACAACTACTCAGACTTATCAAAACAGGCATTAAAATTCCGGCTGTTGGTGGAACAAAAATATAGGAATCTCATCCACTTGCAATCCAAGAGATTGGACTGATGAATTGTACGCTCAAGGGAATAGTCCAATTGGCCTTTAGCCACACTAGCCAGGAAGGGTTAAATGTGTCAAGTTTATCGATGGCGTGGTAAACCTTCATTAACCGAGGTGATAAGGACGTATGACGTATGCCCAACCACCGCTTATCTCAAACAGCGATATTCGCAGGTTCAGTAGGCCTGAATAAAGCTAGAATAGGCTAAACCAAAACATGCCACCAACCAATGGAGTCGTTGTCAGTTGGACGAAGTCATGGTTATATGTGCAGACTACCTGGCTAGATATGTGGTTCTAACGATTATGGGACAAGTAATTTAATTTAAGGATAATTACGGCGGCAACCTACGATTATCCCAGGTTTCAGATTTCTCTATTGGTGCACAAAAGTTCAGATCCAAATGATTTAGGAAAGTCGTAAGAAATAAAGAATTACACCCCAACGAGAGTATCTTAAGAAAACCATGCATTTTGACAGCTAGATTCTAATAAAAAATCATCCTCTCAAAAAAATGAGCTAAAACAACAATTAAAACGATTTTGCTAACCATCAGAATTTTGTGAAGTGTCCTATGAAGCACTAGTTCAGAGCGATAACTTACAAGATTGATTTTTGCGGCATGGTATGGGAAGTGTATCTAAGTACAAAAGGATGAACTCCCGAAACAAACTTCGTATAGTAAAACCCTGAGTAATTAGTATACAAAAGAAGACGGGGCACAAGCCGGACTAGCCCGGCCGCCAGTTTGAATTGAACAGCCTCCTCGAGCAAGGTCACACTTTACATGGAGCTGTACTAACAAATTGGTAGAAGGAGTTCCATTCAAATAATCCCTTATATAGACAGTGATATGGCATTACAAACAGGCACATCGCACATAACCATTTCCTTACCAGATCCATCTATTGACTAGCACTAGAACCTAACAGGGCATTCAATGGCTTCCATACAACACCTCTACCTTCGTGTCAAAAATTTCACCAACAAAACTATCAGACGATCCTACCATTGAAAAATATCTATATTAAGACTCTTCATCTTCATCTACTTTGTCTTTCATACTCCGTTTATCCCACTTGCAATAGAGGTAACAGGATTTGAGGCTTAACCTTAACTTGTTCAACCGGTTGTAGTAGACTGTTAAGTTCACTAAATTTTCCTCCCCTTCGCTATTATATCGTAAAAATCCTCTGCTGTCTGAAATTTAACCACTTAGCGTCTCGTTAACCTCCTCGTTTTTTACCTTGGTTGTTGGCTACTGAAGCCGGACATATTCATATTTTCTGCAAAGATCCGAAGTCCTAATAAAGCAGGAAAGTTGTGTATGGCGTTAGCAACTCCATTCCACATTAAACTAACTCGCTAGAAAACGCTAACCAGAGAATATAATTCAAACCATTTAAACTCTGTCCTGAAAGTTGCAAGGTGTTTGGTTAGAAGAGTTATTATTTCGCATGATGAAAGCCAAGTTCTTGGGAAGTCACAGTGTCGATTCCCCTTGTTATGATAACAGCAACAATTACGTAAGAAGCATGGAATGTTTGTACACTGTGTGGGACTGGGAGAGTCATCCAAGTTTCTGCAGAAATGAAAAGATACAACCTGGTAGTTCCTGGAACCAGTGGAACATATTGAATGCAGGTCGGACAACGAAGACTAGCTTCAGGTGAGATGTTATAATTGCCCTGTCATGAAGAAGAAAATGCTCTATACATACAAAGAGTTCCACTGATGCTGTCCAAAGAAGCACGAAAAGCACTTATAGAATGGAAATCTCATGGCCCCCGCATCGTGAAAGCTTCATTCGAAATAAAGGAAGAGGGGATTACATAGAATATCAGCCAACCAGTAATCACAATGAGGACGTTTGAGATATGGGAGGCTTCACTCAATCATCTATAAAAACCTGAAAAAGGACTTAAAGATTATGATGTAAGACCTGAACGACAAGGTTGGAATGGGAAACACTAGATATGAAGGCATGATGGACTGGGAGAAGGAAATAAAAACAGTGACAGATTTGGGAACCTATGTGCCTTCAACAAGCAGCAACATGTGTTTATTTACAGTTGACCAAACATCATCGGCAACAACCTACTTTGAGAGAAAAAATCAGACTCCAGCTAAGAAATAGATCAGGAAATAGCGCTGGAAATGAACAGGAAAAACGGTAAGGAAAGCATCCAACTCTGTTACAATACAAGCCCTAATTTTGGATCCCCAAGTATAGAGTGAAAGAGGGAAAGCAAGGAATATATTATGCCGAAAATCACTAACAGACATGGAAATAATGGACAATAATTGTGTAGATTTGGGAAAGGGAGGTCCAAGACAGAGTTGGTTGGAGAATGCTGATGTGTAATAGTGGGCAACAATAGTACATAACTTAATAAAAACATCAGTTCCCGTTATTTTCATGTTGTAGTATGCAAAGACAGAGTGAAGTATTGCTTCTTGACCAAACTACCATTCACTAGACAGTAAAGTAGTCATCCCACTGGTTTACAATAATTGTATCACTGAGAGGGGATTTCTCTTCCCGTCCACCATTAGCCTTGTATTAGCTGTCGCTTTCATGAGGCCTTCTCTGAATTTCAGCTGGTAACGGTTTTGTCACTTATCAACAGCTGCCGTCTTCTCTGTCTTATGAAAGATTTTTAGAGTCTCATAGGTTCTTCCTACTAATCCGTTATTTTCTAGATAGTTAGCTATGCTTTGCGCTTTGCTATCTTCCATAGCACAAACTTTAAAAATTAGTCTTTTGATTAAATTGTAGCTGTTATGGTGCTGCTCATCAGAAAATTCAGTTATCAATCAGCCTCCTCGCCTCCGTGCCAGGAGCGTTTCTATCCAGTAGAATAACTTCACATTATTTTGTGATGCAAACTAACACCCTTATGTTGCTTCTCACAGCTTCCAGCGTTCATTATGATTAACGGTACCCAATGATTCCTCAACGGTATTTACAAACCGCAGGAAAACTGAAAACTATTAATAAATTTTTCGAATATATCAGTAGTGATATCCAAAAATATATTTACCGAGCATAACTGTGATCAAAGTCAAATTACTGAGCCAAATAGAAGTTAAAACTTATTTGGCAACTCCAAAGAGGGTAAACTTTTCAGCACACAAAAACTGAAGAAAAATTTACTCATGTGCAGAAGGTATTTGAATCAATAATTCAAATCAGTGAATACAATGGATTAATCTTAAGAAAGCGTGCATATAGGAATTTCTTGACATACTATGGCAGGTACGTACAAAATGATTTCTACATCAACACTCAAAGTCCTTCCATTCACCCATTACCACCGTGGAGAGATTCTTCGGTGGTTTTCGTGATCACCAATTTATGTCGGTGAAAAGAGCAGAACTTAAAAATATGCACCTACATATTTTCTTAGCACTAAGTCGCCACAAATCCATCAAAGCTTCTCCCAGGCTCAGATTTACATAATGTAACACTTCAGAATTTTGTTAGAATCATCAAAAAACCGATGACTAAATTCATGACAAAATGAATATGATTGTTAGTTTGAGATATTCACTATCGTCACTAATCTCCTCTTAGAATCAACAACAGTTGCTCAAGAGTCTTCAACCAACCTATTAAGAATGATTCATTGCTGTAAACACAGTTCTATACCAGCTACTTAGTTCAACAGAGTAAAGGCTTACATTTCATCGAAAACCAATTTAACCCCTGATGCTATTTCACAAGCGGAAGGTTCTGAATAATTCAATTTGGATTATCAAAACATAAGCACATTTGTCTAATCACGTATACGTTGAGTCATTTAAAATTCCTATTTCTAATAATAAAACCAAATCTTGTCCATATGTATGACAAATATCGGATCTCATTTAAACTGAAACATTGCGAACCAGGGTTCGAAAACTGAAAGCTTCAAAGTGTCATTTAGAGCGGGGTTTCAGGACACCGGGAATATCGTTTTTTGAACTGGAATTATTTGCATGAGTGGCTTGGGTAGATAAAGGAGTGTGTAAAAGTGTTTGTCGTGGATATTGGAGAGACGATAGGGGATCTAGGAAGAATTCGACTGCAACAAAATAGGTCTCGAGTGCTGTTGCATGTATGAGGGCGGATGTTGATTCTCAGCTGCCCACACCATGGAAGGAATGTGATTCATGTCAACAGAAAATGACAATAATAACTGTAGTAATAATGCGAATATCCAGTTCACTGGCATGTGAGTTTGATAGCTTGGTACATGAAAGGTAGGGCCTTATATATGTTGTTTAAGTATAGTTTCTACATAGTCCTAAATTGCACGTACGTATGCCCAATATTGATGGGTTTTATAGTATATAAAATTGTAAGAATTTACTCCTAATTAGCAGCGTATTACAAGTGACACGCAAGAATACAGGCTAGAACAAACTGTTGCAAATGCTAACACATTTTATAAGATTGTTTGTACAGTTAGTCTATTAACAGTTTACTTGCTTACTTACTTACTTGCGCCTGTTACCCCCAATGGAGCATAGGCCGCTCACCAGTTTTCTCCGACAAACTCTGTCCTGGGCTTCCGTCTCCAGTTCTGTCTAATGTTTGTTTATTTCTCTCATATCTTTCTCTATTTCTCGGTGTAATGTGTTCCTTGGCCTTCCTCTTTTCCTTTTGCCTTGAGGGTTCCATGTGAGGGCTTGTCTCGTGACGCAGTTAGGTGCTTTCCGCAATGTGTGTCCTATCCACTTCCACCGCTTCTTCGAAGTCCTTCATTCTGTTTAACAATACCCTGTTGAAGACTTTGCCTGATATTGAGAGAAGAGTGATGCCTCTGTAGTTCTCACACTTGCTCAGGTCGCCTTTCTTTGGTATTTTGATCAGGTATCCTTCTTTCCAATCTGATGGTACTTGTTCCTCATCCCAAATCTTCTTGAAGAGGATGTGAAATATTTTCGCGGTTGCTTCTACATCTGCTTTCATTGCCTCTGCTGGAATGTTGTCTGGTCCTGCTGCTTTGCCGCTCTTGATTTGTCTGATGGCCATACTGATCTCCTCAATTGTGGGCGCGCCAATATTAATTGGGAGATCCGTGGATGCTGCTTCGATATTGGGCGTGTTCAGTGGAGCTGGTCGATTCAATAGTTCCTTAAAGTGCTCTACCCACTTGTTTCGCTGTTCTTCAGTGTTTCTGATTACTTTGCCTTCCTTGTTTTTCACTGGTCGTTCTGGTTTACGATAGTTCCCGGCGAGCTTCTTTGTTATTTCGTATAACTGTCTCAAGTTTCCTTCTCTTGCAGCCTTTTCCGCCGTCATCGCTAGGTCTTCCACATATTTTCGTTTGTCAGCTCTGATGCTCTTCTTCACTTCCCTGTTTGCTTCCGTGTATGCAGCTTGTGCCTTAACTTTCTCTGCTCTTTTTCGGCTGACATTGATTGCTGCCCTCTTGTTCCTCATTTCTTCAATCTTTTCAAGAGTACCAACAGAGATCCATTCCTTGTGATGGTACTTCTTGTGACCCAGAACTTCGTGACATGTTGAAGTGATTGCCCCCTTATCCCTTTCCAATTGTTCTCCAATGTTGCTTCCTCTCCATCGAGTAGATCCTGAAAGGCCTGGAACCTATTGGTGAGGGCTATCATGAATTCAT